AGTATTTGTAAAAGATGTTTTAAAACAGTTAGGTTGTCAGGTTTTTATGTGTAAAATTTTGAACATTTTACAATTTTTTTAAAAAGAACTTGACTCTCTTTAAAATGAGTACAGCTTCTTAAGCAATAAGCTATACAGTTGTATCAGTTCCGTTAACTAACCAAAAGTCGTAACATAGTGCTCCTTATGTGGCCTCAACAATGCACACCAATAGCATTAACAGGTACACCATCCATACGCAATATGGCACTGTTAATACTCTGATGTTATACAGCAGTTAATGGAATCAGCCTCTCTGAAAGCTACCACAAAGTATGGGAAACTTTACTATTAGTCAGCTTCAGAACCATTAAACTGAGAGCTGAGAGATTTAGAGCTGTACTCTCATTAGGATATTACAGGATAATCACTATCGAGAAGGCACAAAAAAATTTATTAGTAGAGTCAAGAAAAACCAGCATTCATCATCCTAGGCAGGAAACAATGTAACACAGGTTTAGATCTACTCCAACCTAATAGATGAAGAAGGGGTTTGAGGCTGGTCAGCAGAATTATTCTGCTTACCCCTAAAGTCTTTGTCTAGGAGGTCTTCTACAGTAGCTTGATGCAATTAAGATCTGCCTAAGATGAGTATTTTTATTAGAGACACTATCTTCAGCCTTTATTCAACCAAGACCCCTAAGTCAGGGGAATTTTAGCTGGATGCAGTTAACATCTGCCTAAGATGTCAGAGTTTTATGTCAGAGTTTGTTTCTCCTAGCTTTTGCCTAAAAAGCAAATCTTACAAGGCAAGCAGGGCATGGATCAGGTAGGGTGATCTTGATGATCCTGAACCTGACCTGACCTGGAGTAGTTAAAAGGAGTTACTTCCTGTTAACATTACTTTAAAACAAAAAACAAGATATTTTAGTAATGCATTAGGAAAAACATTAAATCTAAAATACTAGAGATTAAGGTGAGCGTAGGTTTTATAGTTGGAGTCACTAATTAGTTATTGACCACAGAGATCAGAGGTTCACACAGAACACAAGCATACAGATAGCAACTTAAGAGTGAGTCAACACCATGACTTCACCATGCCAGAGATTTACACCATGTCAGAGGTTTAGACAGACACGCACACATGCCAGAACACCATGCCAAAGGTTTAGACAGATATAGTAAGTTACAGGTAAGATATAGTAAGTTACAATAATAATAATAAATATATATATATATATATATATATAATTAAAAAAAAAAAATTAAAATAAAAAATTATAGAATCAAATAAAATGAAAAAATAAAAAAGAATAAATAAATAAAAAAAATTAAAGAAAAATATATTGCTATAGGCATGACAGATATTAAATTATATATTTTCAATACTAATGAATCAAAATATAAAAGTTTAAACCATAATTTTTAGTAATAATAATAGTAATTTATGGTTTTATAATGAGTTTTTTCATCATAATTTCAAGATTGATATAAATATTTTGTTTATTGAACAACTATTGTTTTTTTGTAATAAAAACAGGTCACAGTTTTTTAAAAACTCAAAATTTAAAGACTAGAATTATATTCAGATATTGCAAATTGAAACCGCTTAGTTCTATCTTATATACATTTGTCAATTCTGATTGATTGCTTGATTGATTGTTCCCAGTTAACAGCCAGACCGTTGGTCCTAGAAACTTGAAACTTGGCATGGATGATCCCCATGAGCCAGGGAGTGACATAGGCTATGTCAAGTTGACCTCGGAGGTCAATAGAAACTGCCCGGGATCGCGGGGGCTTTCAAATGGTTATTTCTGGGTCAGAGGGGGCCAGATAGAGTGTTCCTCGTGAAGTGCAGAATTGTTCCTCACCCTCAGGGGTGGGGTGCAAATGACCTTGGGGGTCGCTGAAGGTCAGAATGGTCTATTGGGACGAGTTGAACATTTCTTATAATGTGATTATCGTCGGTTTCTGTTGTGTTCCATGGATTGCTGTTGCCTGTTTCGTTGTTTTCCAGAGTTTTCTGGAATGTTCCACGTTTTTCCGGAGTGGTCCAGAATTTTCTGAAGTGGTTCGGAGTTTTCTGGAATGTTCCATAGTGCACAGTGTGGCTGTTCTATCACCTTTCAGAGCATTTGGGGGCTTTCCAGAGTGTTCCGTGGTACTCTTTGGCTCCATCTGGAGCCTTCCATGGGGATGTAGGTGGATCACCAGAGATCACACATAGCTCAGTTTTTACCGGGTTGCTGAGGTGAACACATCAATTGCCGGGTTGCAGTTCTGGGAGTCAATTCGGGGGGTCGGTTTGCTCTTTGCATGTTGCTGCAAGAAATGGGTGGGGAAATATTGTTTTTTGGAGGTAACTAATTCATTTTTGGTTCTTTTATTTTGTGGTGGTCAACTTGGTAAAGGGGCATTGTTCTTTTCAAATGAGTATTGTGTATGATTATACATATAAGATGTGTGTTTGGCGTATATAAAATCCCCGGATGGAAGAACTTTTAGTGTTGTGTACTAAGAGGCTCTGTGGCAGTTTTTTTATAGTACCCAAGATTAAGAGTTTTTTGGTCAAGTAATTGATTTTTGGAGGGTAGGTTTTCTTTGTACGCCAGCAACTTTAATTTGTTTTGCCAGTGCCCAGCGACGCGGGCACCTCTGCTAATATTACATATTTAGTATTATATAATTTCAAAAGTCTTTTACCGTAAAAGGTTATTATTTTCCTGATTAAGTTTTTTTTATTTGTGTTGTTGTTGCTTTTTATATATGTTCACTGTTGTTTCACTGTTCACTGCTGTTTACTATTATTTAATTAACATTTGTAACATATTATATTAGACTTAATATTTTATGTTAAAGTGTATGTATAAAAATTATAAGTGATAACTTAATAAATTATTAATTGTAAAAATTTTTAATATATGTATGTTTGTACTTTGCTGATTTCTGTTTCTTTACAATATTGGTTTCACTCACTCTCGTCCTCAGAAAGACAAGAGTGAGAGAAACCAATATTGTAAACTTTTCAATTGGTTTGAGGTCAGGTGAGTAACCAGGCCAGGGGCCAAAGATCTTAACCCAATTCTTATATAACCAACTGTTTACAAGCTTGGTCCTGTGACAGGGTGCTTTATCATGCTGAAACTTGTGGGTATTCGTAATGTAATAAATATTTTTTTTTTTTTTAAGTATTTAAAGATAAATATGGCTATTTATTGTGGTGTTAACCATCAACCATCAATTTGATTAGCTGTAATGGCACCTTATATCATGATTTTAGGGCAATGTTTTACAGTAGAAACCAAATACTAGGGTTGTATCATTGGCAAGGCGGGCGTCTAATGCTTGTACAATGACAACCAAATTGTTCAATTAATAATTTGTCCCTAAATAATACACCCGCTTAATCTTCCGCTGACCCGTGGTTGTATTTTTGACAGAAGGTAACACAGTCTCTAATATTATTTTGAGAAAGGCAAGGTTTTATGGCCGGAACATGGCTATTTAAGTTAAATTGTTTGCACATATGTCTTCTTATTGTCACAACACTTGGTGCAACACCAATTTGTAATATTTCTGATAAAATTTCAGAAGCACTGGGAAACGGATATGCTTTTGCATACTGATGAATGCAATTGCCTGCCATTTTGAGTAGTCGCCTTTGGTTGTCCAGTTCTAGCTTTGCTTTTAAAACCACTAGTTTCTTGATATTGCTTAAATGTTTTTATAATGCAGCTATGTGTTACATTAAAACGTGCAGCAATAGAAGTCAGGATCAATTCTTGTTCATGTAGAATAACAACCTGAGTTTTTCCCATATTTATTATTTTATTTTTTGCTAAAATAACAACAAGCTATGACTGAAACAAATTTAGTGGTTTATAATATAAATTTTGCATGAATATAAGAATAATACTCAAAATTTATTTAAGCAAGTATAAAAATATTTTTAAACAAATAAATTTAAATTTTCAGCAAATTTTTTTAATGTTTCAAACTTTTGATCATGACTGTATATGATATACAATGATATAATGCGTGATATAAAAATAATGTAAAAAGCGGGAAAAAAATAATTTAAAAGTTTTCTCTACCATCTGCATCAAAATAATTTTGAGACCATAATTTAATCAAAATTTCAAATAGTAAAGTATTCTCTACAGTCCGAATTAATGTATAATTTTGAGCCTATAACAAATAACACAATGAAACCTACATATATATATATATATATATATATATATATATATATATATATATATATATATATATATATATATATATATATATATATATATATTTATATATATATAAACATCGTAATATATAATAATATGGTTTTTTGTTTTTTATTTTATTTTGTTTTTTACTTTATTTTTGTTTGATTAGTTTTTAACTTTATGAGCGACACCAAACCTAATTTTGATTTTGTTGTAAGGTTATAGACATTACACTTTTTAATTGTTTTCAATTTAATGACAGAACTTAAACTTGCATCTTTTAGCTTCTGTAATTCCCTTGTGCTTAGTGTTGTTTATATGTTAATTCCCTTGTGCTTAGTGTTGTTTATGTTAGTGAATATTAAATGATAGCATATTTATTTTTAAAAGTTTTGTGTGTTATGTTTTACAAATGTAAATTTTATTGATAGAAAAATGAGCAGTTGCACACACTTTTCATATTACAATATTTTATATGGTTATATACATAGATAAAATATACAATTGTTTTATATATTTTTACACTTTTTTTTGTATGTGTACTTTTTTCCAAGTGTTTTTTTCTTTTTTTTTCTGAACAAAAAAAAAATGTTATTAAAAAAGTAAGCAAAAAAAGTCGGCAAATGTATATGTATTTATGCTATAGTAGATACAATTATCTTTGGGAACTAGCCTAGCAAAAAACATCTTTATGACATCATACTGAAATAGTGCATACATCAACTGAGGGTTAGGGTTTTAATATATTTCCTAAGAGCATATTTACAAAATAAGAAAATGAAACAAACAAAATAAAATTACCACAAAATAAGCTCTTTATCAAAAGCGTCTAAAAGTAAGTCAGTTAGCAAGATAATATGTTGTGTAAGAATTGTGCCAACCTAAAAAAACAAGTTTTGTTTAACTTTCAATTATTCAAGTTTTTTATACACACGCTCTAGTTTTTAACTTATTTAAAAAATTTTTTTTTTTATATTTGTGATTTAAAAATGTATAACATTAAAATTAGGGCTGTACTGGATTTAATTTTTCCAAATCCGGCCGGAGCCGGATTTGCTGGATTTTTACTAACAGATCCGGCTGGAATCGGAGTCGGAGCCGGATTTTGAAGCAAAACTACAGGAACCAAAATCCTGTATATCCCTACTTGGTGTTGAAAATGGTCAACAATGTTGACTACTTAGATCACCAAGTGACAGTCCCCAACGGGCATTTCTTTTTAAAAGTTACGATCTAAATGTATTCTAAATGTATTTTAAATGTCTTTTAAACGTCTTTTAAACATTAATGTTTAAAAGACGTTTAAAAGACGTTTAAAAGACATTTAAAACACATTCAGAACGTAACTTTTAAAAACAAATGCCCGTCGGGTTGTTTTCTATTAAACATCATTTTTGTTGTTTAAAAGTTTTATAGCAATTTCTATATAAATTAATAGACATTTTATATAAATTTTATAGAGTATATAGTCTATAGGCCATATGTTTCAAAAATTTAGAGTAATTCTACAGAACTTTTTTTCCCGGGATGTTGTCACTCTGCCACTGTAGTGAATCAGCGTGTCTATATATTTCTGATTCTTCCAGATATTGGCTTAGCTGAGTGTCAATGCCTGTTGGTAATTGTTGTTCATGTGCTGTGCCACAAGCGGGCGTAGACTGAATAATTTCATCTATATATATTGCCATTGTAATGATGATAATGTATAAGAATTATCCAGCCAGGATTGTTTTGCTGGATTTTCTTTATTTTTTTCAATCTAAAAAGGTTTCTCCTCAATGCCTTTGAAACGCTCATCTAATGAGTTGATTAGGATTGACTTCATAGTCTTTACACCTGCATTATTGCAGAATATCGTGTGTCTTCTCTTCAGAATTTTTTGTTGTGTTCTTGTTTGAAATTAAGCTTAGCTAATTAAATTGTAAAAAAATGTAAATACAGATACCAAAACAAACATGAAGTTCAAAAATTAAGTATTATGTATACATGTTATCACGGGTAAGAAAGATGTAATAAACATCCAGAAATCTGGCCAAAATTATGCCGGATTTCGGCCGGAGCAGGAGCCGGAGCCGAAATTCGGTACAGCCTTAATTAAAATAATTGTTAATTAACTTCCATTGATCAAAGTCTAGAAGTTAAAAATACTAATTAAAAAAAAAATGTGTCTGATATGGTGTGTGTATGTGACTTTGTTGTTGTCTGTGTTTAAATTCAAATACAACCTCACCTTGGTGCTGTCAACTTTAGGTAAACCTTGCTTAAGTGAAATTTCAATCTATAAATAGAAAAATTATTATTATTATTAATACTTTTGCTTTAAAGCAGATTTTAAGAGTTAATTAAAAGTTACGTATTACTTTGTATTATGTTTGTTCAGTAACATGATTAATACAAAAAATATAAATCAACAATTACAGCTAGCCCATAAATTTTGCTAACATCTAATTTAATTTTCAATTTTTCCCAAAAAGTCAAGATTAAATGGATAACAAAGCTAAAAATATTATTATTTTAAGTTTATTTAATATTTAATATTAGCCCTTACCATTTCTAAAAAAATTCTATTTCAAAATGTTTTGAGGTGCTTTCAGAGAGTTTTTGAAAGAATTGCAGAGAAATGTCCTGAATCCAAGCTATTTTTATTTCTTTCATCAGATCTGAAATCAAAGTGCAGCACACTAAAGAAATCTTTGATTTCATTTCCTCAAAAACAATTTCTATTAGTTTAAAATCTGGGGAGTTGCTAGGCCACTCCAACACATTAATTCTTTTGCTCAAGAACCATGACATGGTTTTGATATATGGCAATGTGCACCATAGAAGAGACACTTTAGGGCAGTGTTACTGCCCTAAAGTGTCTCTTCTTTGCCACTAAAGTATCTCCAAACCATGAGATGACACTATGTTTGGCAGCTTTTTGGGTGTATTTGGGATTGAATTGGTCAGAACAACCCGGTGACATACTTGCATTCATATAAGTTTATATTTTATTTTAACAAAATGTATGCAAAAGTTGATGTTATAAAGAGTTTGATTTGTAGCCAAAAAGAAATATAATAATAGCAACTTATGAAATAATTTATTATATTAGTGTTTCAGAGAAACATATCAATTCCCAACAGAGCAGACAAAGGAAAGCCTCAATTCTCATTAGGCACTGAACTAATTAATATAACATGTCATTAAAAAACCAGTGTAAAGCTGTGTGAGGCATGATAACTTCAAAATACATTTTAATATTGACAGAAACTAAAAATATTGCCACATGTTATAAGTACTTAAAATTACTTCAGATGTCTTCAAAATTTTTTGTGCTAGCTGTAATTTTATAACAAAAATGTATAAAAAAACAAAACAAAATAAAAAAAAACATGTATTAAATCAGCAGCTCAATCGTCCACACTTGAGGATAACTTTTTTATTTTTTTTAATTATGTTGTTAAAACTCTTAACACCAAAAAAGAAAATTAAAATAAATAAAATTTATACATTTTTTAAAAATATAACCATGTCACATATTATTACTATATTATTATTCATATATTATCATAATTCTTTTGTAATAACAACTGGTAATGATTTTTTTAATCAAATTGTTTATAGAAGAAGTTACAAGTTGAAAACAGAAGCAATGAATATGATTTAAATAAGTTAAAATAAGCAGCAAGAGGTTCCACAGCAACAACAAAAAAATTACAACAACAAAACAATGTTTTGTTGTTGTAGTTTTGTTTTGTTGCTGTGGAACTTTTTTATTTTGTTTTGTTTTTTCAAAACTTTGTTTTGTTGTTGTAACTTTTTTTTTTGCTGTGGAACTTCTTGCTGTCAATTGTTTATTTTAACTTATTTTAAATCATTTTCATCGTTTCTGTTTTTAACTTGTAACTTCTTCTATAAACTATAAAAAAATCATAACCAGTTGATATTGCAAATGATGAATAAAAAAAGTCATACAGTTGAACAATGAAGCTTCATATGTAAAAATTAATGTTAACAAAAAACACCTGCTGCTTTAATAAACTTCTAGTGTTTACTCCAAGTGAACTTCCTATTAAAATATAAAAATAAAGAAAGAAAGTAAACAACTTTATATACCAAATATTCATCATTTGAACTTCAGCAAAATTCATTTTCAGCAAGTTATTTTTTATTACATATAACATCTATAATTTAAATTTTTATATGATCCATAACACTAGTAAATCTAATAAACCCTAAATTATTTTTATTCACCTCTCCAAGACTGAGAAGGTCTACTACTTTTGGTTCACTACTTTTTTTGAGAAAGTTCACTATTTTTTTGTTATTGTAAAAAAACAAAATGAATTGCTTTTATAAAAAAAACAAAATGAATTGTTTTTATAATAATTTAGCAAATACTCAATGCGCTCAGTAATTAGTAAATTTTGAATAAATTTTTTTTTCTAAAAAAATATTCAAAAAAAAAAAGAACTAAAGAACCTTTTAACAAGTTCTTTGTTTTCTAGTAACTTCCAAATTATTAGAGGTTACTTGAAGCCTTGTTGGGAGTGAATTAAAATTTCAAAAATGAAACAAATACTTTTTTACCAAAAATTTCATTGGCAGAAGTTAAATACTTAAATAGAATTTAAAAAGTTTTTGATGAAAACAATAAAACTTAAAGAGTACTTTAAAGTTTTCAAAACAGTCAGCCAATTGAAATAGGAATGGATTGGAAAGTGTTGAAAAGGTTTGACATTAAAATTTTTGAAAGCATAACTAAAATGTAAAATTTCTTAAGTTAAGCGAATGTTAATTACACTGAACAAACAAATTGAATGTTGATGAATACATATGAATACATATTTCAATTATAATAATAGTACTTTAAAAAGGTCGAGGGTTTTTACCATTAAAAAGAGTCACACTTCTCCATAAAAGTCATGTTAAAAATGTCAAACTGCATGATATGAAAAAATTGATTACATATATGAGAATTAATGAGAATCACAAAGCATTCATTTTTACAAAATAGTTCAGATGTCTTCATTTGTGTAACATTTAGTGTAACAGGTTCAGGACCATCACAACAACCCTGCTACTGGTATCATGTAACTCAGTACTACCTGGTCCATGCCCTGTTGCCTTGTCGGGTGTGATTTTTCAGGCAAAGACTAGGAGAAACAAACTTCAACTTAAAATACCTCTGTCTTGGGGCTCTTGATTGAGTAAAAGCTAGAGATAGCATCTCGATAAAAATATTCATCTTGGGCAGATGTTAACTGCATCCAACTACTGTCTTGTAAAAGGCCTCCTAGGCAAAGACTTTAGGGGTAAGCAGATTCTATCTGTTGATCAGCTTTATACCACTTTTTCATCTATTAGGCTTAGATACATTTATAATACAATTTAGGATGTCAAATGCTGGATCATCTTCATTGCAGGGGTTTTGTTTGTCTCTCTGTTTTTATGACTAGTTAACTTATTCTATTATCTTCTAATGAAGGTACAACTCTAAAACTCAGTTTTGTGGTTCTGAGGCCGGCTGCTAGTCAGGATTTTAAAACTCTCTGGTAGCTCTCAGAGTTGATTCCATCAACAGCTGTAAAATATCAGAGTACTAACTGTGTAATTTTGTGCAAAGGTGTCTCTATTCATACTTTTAGTGTGCATTGTTGAGGCCACATTTGGAGCCCTTTGTTATGGCTTTTTTTTTATTTATCAGTAGAAGCAATTGCTCGGACTTAAATAGCGTACTAAGACTATCTGTGCTTTGAGACAAGTTCTTTAACAAATCCAAAAATGACCAAAGAACCAAAACTATAAAACACAAAAAACCATCATCATCATCAAGTTCTCTCAATGTATCATTTACTAATATTTGTGGTCTTCAAAGTAACTTTTTTTCTGTTAAGTTATATATCCTTCTGGGACTCTTTCCATGATTTTCTTCATGATGGACCTTGGGTAGAAATCATTCGTCTTCCTGCTGACAAATATGCTTCTTATGTAACTTGTTTGATTCAGGCTGGCATGGAATTTTTTAATACCTCTCGACAACTCTAAGTCAAGCCTCACTCTTTTCCATGGTTTTCCTCTCATTGTGCCATATCTATCACCATAACAATTCTTTAGAAAACAGATGTCTATTTTCTAATGCTAGATTAGAAAACAGACGTCTGGTTACTAATACTAGAAACCATTGTAAAAAGGTTTTATTTAAAACCAAAGCCTGCTATTCTCAGGTCACAAAATCTCGCATTTTATCTAAAAAATTAAGCTCAAGAGGCTTCTGGAGAATCTTTAACAGTGTCTATAATAAAAAAAAATCTGTTAATCCACCTCTTTTGCATGGCTCAGATTTTGTTACCTCGCCAAAAGACAAAGCTGGACTGTTTACTAAGTACCTTTCATCAACCTCATCTCCTCATTCCACTAATAACATCCTACCTTATACAGCTGACAAGCAGCTTGATCAATTGCTTGACTTTAGTATCACTCCAGCTTCTGTACCTAAAGTGATTTCCTGCTTAGACTCTTCTACAGCTTGTGGTCCAGACAACATACCTGTTATAGTCTTGCAGAAGTGTTCTCTGGAGCTGTTGCCTACTCTTTCAAAACTATATAACAAGTCTTATCAGAATCTTGTTTTCCAGTCCACTGGAAAGCGGCATCTTTTATCCCTATTTTCAAAAATTCTGGAGAGCAATAAGACTCGTCTAACTATTGTTCCATCAGTTTTCTTCCTATCATAAGTAAGGTTTTAGAGTCTTTAATGAACAAACACTTAATCACTCATCTTAAATCTAATAACTTACTTTCATCAATATGTATATTGATCTTCTCGTTCTACTGGTGATTTGTTAACTGTAATTACTGATAGATTTTATTGTGCATTAGATAGATGTGAAGAGGCTAAGGCTATCTTTCTCAACATTTCTAAAACCTTTGATAACATTTGGCATACTGGCCTTCTCCATAAGCTCTCTTCTTGCAATGTATCAAGTAACATCTTTAAGATTATTGAATCCTTCCCTACCAATCATAGTATAAAAGTTGTTCTTGATGGACACCACTCTTTTTCATTTCTTGTAATTTCAGGGGTTCCTCAGGGTTCTATCCTTCGTGTATTACTTTTTTAAACTTATATTAATGATCTCCCTGGAATTCTCACACCTAAGGTGGCATTGTTTGCTAATGATAATACCATTTATTCTTGATAAGAAGCCAACACTCTCTGGTTGCTTGGAGGGGTCACTTGAGCTCGGAAAGAATCCCTCTTCTGCTACAGAATAGGGCTCCTAGTGGTTGGTGAACATTAACTCAGATAAAACTCAGACAAATTTTTCAGCTCATCATTATCACAATTACATTGGTCTTCTTATGTTTATAAATGGTAATGTACTTGATGAGTCATCTACCCTTCATTTTCTAGGATTAAATCTTACTTCTGATCTTTCTTGGAAATATATCAAATTCATTGCAAAATTAGCATCTGCTAAGATTGCATCTCTTTATCATGCTTGCGTCCATTTTTGTATGGAATACTGTTGCCATTTCTAGAGCGTATCTATAAATGAGATGAAAATTTTTTGTAAACATAGTTGGAGCGCCAGCCAACGCTGGGCATTGCTCTAAAGAGCTAGTGTCTCTTTTGCCATCTACTAAATCTCATTCTCATGTTACTCGCCATTCAATCAAGTCTCATTCTTTTACTTTGACTGTTCCTAAGTGCTCAAAAAATTCTTATTCGTCTTTTTCCTTAAACATCAGTTCTTTGGAATTTGCTTCATTTGTCTTGTTTTCCTGATTCATATCATTCTATACTTTTGTGCCAAAACAAGATAAGACAAATATATCTGTTTCAATACGAAAGTAAAGCTAATACCACAGAACTTTCTAAATATATCTGGGAAGTAAAAAAAAAAGGATTTTCAAATCTTATTGTTATGTGGAAGATTATTGATAGGGCCAAGCCATATCATTACATCATAAACAATATGAACTAATATCAAAATGCCGCCACAAAAACAAATTTGTTATCTGCAAATTTAACATCATCTAAGCTAATATTGTATTATATTTTGTATATAAATTTTTGCTGTTGTTGTCATTATGGTTGTTTGTAACGTCTGATGATTGCATAAACCGCGAAACTCTGATTTATGCTTCAAATTTAATTATAATTATTTTATTATTTTTTAATATAAATATATATTTGCTCTACTTTTGTATTAAGCACTGCCTACTAAAAAACTACTATTGTTACTACTATAATTATATATAGTAATAACAATAAAATAAAAGATTGCTGCCCCATGCCAAATATAATGTATCTCATCTTGCTCAAAACTAACATTAGTACCAAGCAATTTAATTGTACAATAGTGCTATTCATAAAATCTGTTTTTTGTTCAAATATTTTTCAGAATTAAAGTCTTTAAGTAAACTGTAATAGCCTAAAATAAAGTAATAACACATATACGTAATATGTATAACGAAATATATGTATAACGATTTAATAGCATTATAATTTTAGGATTAATTGACAATTCCAACTTTTTTTTTTTGATTTCAGTAGCTAGCTTTTCAAAAAAAAAGTCTGGGACTTTTTTTGAATAGAATAATTGAACCCGTCATTTCAAAAAGGGCACAAGTCCATTTATTCAAACTTTTCAGGATCAACAAAAATAACTTTATTAGAAAAAAAGTCTATGGTGCTAAAGAAACTAAAGATAACAGTAGATATATAAAAGTTATACATAAGTTTTTAGAGTTTTATTTGTTATAAAAAAATAATATATAACACATATATTTCTAATTTAAATTTATGGACTTATGTCTTTTTCGGAATGAACGCTTTTTTGTATAAAAAAAACCAAAGATTATCAGAATAATAATGATTTATTATTACACAAAAACATTTATTGTTAGGTAATCATCAATTATTTCTTGGAATTCATTGTTTGCCGAAGTTGTTGGTGAAGCAAAAACCTTTGTATAGAAGTTTTGGTACTCTTCTATTGAATATGGAATATATTTTTTCATATTTTTTTCAAATCTGATAAATTTTTTTCATTGATAGGTAATTTTCCATCATATGCAGGAGTACTACTTAATGGTAAGGTTGACCAGGTACCCATCCTTTGTAATAGCTGGATATTATAACTGACTAAGCAATCTATGGATTCACATGTTTTCACTAAACCTGCTGTGGTATTAGAGAATGTGAAATGTGAAATTTTAGAAATACCAAAAGTAAGTTTTTTGTCCTTGGGTACTCCTTTTTTATAGGAATCCACAGATAGCACAAGTTTCTTATAATGGTTTAGCCACCATTTTTTTACATCGTTGGTGTGTAAATCCAATCTTTTTTTTGAATGTCGTTTTGCTGTTCCAAACATTCTATCGTTTGGCAAGAATGAGTGACCTCTTTTTGGTATGTAATATTGTATCTCATTTATATTGCTATCTAGTTCAGCTACCAGTGATAAAAGTATTTGTACCGTGGCATGATTTCTGTTTTGGCCTGCACAACCATCAGAAAATAGGTGCAGTTCTTTGGCTTTGTAGCCAATATTTTAAAAAATATAATTCAGCACAAAGGTACATACTTCGCTCACATACTTTTGTTAATGTATCTCCAGGTAATGCGTTGCATCGTGATCACAGAGGTTTACCTCTGTAATCTATAGGCTGCTCTTTTTTTTTTAATAAAATGCATAAATATCTAACTTGTTTCATAGAAATTCCATGCATACAGCAAAAAGATTTCTTGTGTACTTTTCTTATCACACCTTCAATCTTAATGTGATAAATAAAAGAAAATTCTTTTTTCTTAGGTTCTTTAGATCTAAACCATCTTCCCTCTTTTCAATCAATGACTGCAAGTAAGTGTCTTGAGCATTTTTACAATCAAATTTGTTAACAAACTGAATTGTACTTTCTATAAAATCTTCAGATACAAGCTCCATACACTTTGAATTACATCTATAAATAAATAGAATTATTAAGGTAATATTGTAATAATTGTATATCAAGATGTTTTACCTCCAATTATTGGTGGTAAAACATGAGTAAATAAGCATAAATTTGAGAACGAATATAGTCATACTCTAAAGAACAAAAAACTAACCTGCAAGAAGCACCCGTTTGACTTGGTGCCACATCATTTCCTTTGTGGTTTTTATAAGTTTCTCCAGCAATTTTGGCTTTTTTTATTTTTTTGTGTTTATAATTTCCACTGTTTCTTATACCAGTCACTCTTTTTCTAGATCTATATGCATTTTCAGCAAGTTCGTGATTTTCCATTTTTGTTACAAAAAAAGTGAAATTACGTCACTACAGTTGCGCTTTGTTTCACTTGAAAAAGCCATATGTCCGGGACTTGTGCCATTTTCAAACAGACTTTAATTTTCATTTGCATTTAAAGTTGACTTGTGGCATATGAAAATGTTTCTCCTTCAAAGGGAATATGTAAAACACTTGAATAAATAAAATTGCATTAAAAAGTGAAATTTGAAAAAAGTGTGACTTGTGCCCTTTTCGAAATGACGGGTTCAATTCAGTTTTACAATTTTTTTGCCCTAAAATTAAAAGTACAATTTTTTATGAAAAAACCACTTTATATATTTTTTGATGGTGGAAATTCCTAGCGGACTCTGATAGGTAGAAGGTAAGTCATTTCCCAAAAATTGTATTTTGTAATATTTATTTTTTAATAAATTAAAAAAAATTTTGAAAGAACTTTAAAAAACCATAGAGCCTATAAATCTAACAAACAAATGAAAAAAAGAGACTAGAAATACAATTAAATACAAATTTTTGCTAAAAATGAAAAGTTTATGTGGTCAGTATAATTCTTCCATTATTTAGGTACTGAATTTGGTACAGAGTACCAAGTATTTTGATAGATATTGGTTTTTTGATAGGTATTTATTACAGTGACACACACTTCTCTACACCCTACTTTACATCCTATAGAAAAATATTTGTAAAAGTTAAATGAAAATATATTTTATAACAATTGGTTACAAGTTATGCACAAATTTTTTATTATTGCCTTAAACTATTTACAATATTTATAGTTAGATTACAATATTTATAGATCTGATTTTGTAAAGTTAATGACTATTTATTAATAACAAAATATTTTTTTTACATAATAATTATTACCATTTCTAAATTTATTATTCCAAGTTTTAATTTTTTTGTATTTTCATTGTTTTAATTTTTTTTCTACCTGTTGCTACAATGTGATCTTGTTAATTTTTTAATTATGCTTGAATTTTTTTTAACCATTTATAAACTAAAAGTATGTAAGAACACATTTTATTTTTGCTATGCAACTTAAGAGTTATGTTGTTCAATAAAGATGAGAATGGAAACAAAGTTGTATTTCAGTATGGAATGCTCCTCAGCAGTGGCAAATTCAACTTACTCAAAAGCTCTTTAATTATCCTTGTTCTCACAACTCAACTGAGAAAAGGATGCAAATTTTTAGTGATTTCTGTTTCAGATGTAATAAACCAATAAATTTTTTATTAAAATTTTTAAAAGTAATATTCATCATAACAAAAATTATTGTGCTTTAATTTATACTAATAATTTATTTATAATTAGTATAAACTATGCAAATGCTTTAACATACTAGTTATACTAGTTATGAAAAAGAAATATAAATTAAATAAAAAATATTTTAATCTAATAATAAAAACCACATTAAGTTTAATTTAATTTTAAATGTGAAAGTTTTATTTAATTTTAAAAGTGAAATTTATTAATAAAATTTTCATATACCTGTCCACAAAACAAAAATTTCATTATACCTGTCCATGGAACAAAAACTTGCTTAGTTGGTAGTGTTATTAGCAATTTCTGGCGACATTTCCATGATGCTGTAAAACAAGCCTAAATAAATTTTTCACATTATTTGCAAAATTAAAGTCATTTTAATCTTTTTTACAAATAATGTCTATCATAAATGGCAAACAAAATTGTTTTTGGTGTTTGAAAAAAAACAAAAACTTTTTGATATTAAATCTTAGTTTTTCTTTTTTTTTCTCAATTTGAAAATAAAAACGAAATTATTTGTAGAAAAACAAAAATGTTTTTAACAGAATTCATTCATAATTAACAATAAATATTTTATTCCAAAAATTTTTATTTGACATTTTGACAGCACAAACATTAAACAATGTTTACTTTATTCCTGAAGATTTTCTAAAATGCTAAACAAGAGTGTCTTTTGTTATGCTTCTCCCATTTTTTTAGGAAAAGTCCCAATTAATTTAGCTTTATATTTTACGTTTTACTTTATAAATATAGAGGATAAAAAAGCACTTACTGCAAATAAACCACTAACAGCCGCAATCAACTCTACTTGCTCCTTGACAGTTCTTAAAGTAAACAACTGATCACTTTCAACTTTGATTAAACTATCAAAGAACTTATCTACTTCTGTTACCTAAAAATAATTAAGTGGGTAGACAATAAATGGTATAAAAAAAAAAAAAACTTATAAAAAAATAATTACAGAAAAAATAAACTGACTATATTAATTAAATTTATATTATTAATTATCAACAAACATCAAGTTGAAAGTAAAAGTAAAAACCTTTGAAAAGATTTTTTTCAAATGTTATTACTTAAAAACTATTTAGAACTATTTCAATTATTAACCAAGCAAATGTCATTCAACTTGTCAACACTGCCATTGATCAATTGTTGACAATCCTATTGAATGCTACAGTGCTTCACAATGAAATTACAGTAATAAACATAATAAAAAATAATTTGCTTACATCATTGCAAACCAATCAAAAGCTATTTCTTGCGTGTATTTACAAATGCGCTATTTAGTTGTAACTTAGTACATTTCAAATATTGCAGACAAGAACCTTAGCTTTAAGAAAAACAAAACCTACAAAATGCATCCAAACCAAATAAGCTAATTTTTATTATAAAATATGACCACCCTAAAATTACTACCATGAGCAAATTATAAGTACTCAAGAAAATTTTACTTTTCTAAGAAATTCATCATCAGGAAGCCTCTAACAACAAAAAAAGAGTTTCTTCTTTAATGATGGAAACTTAAAAAAATCAAATCATTTTTTTCTATGTATTTGCAAACATGGATGAACCCTAGGAACTGGTTAATTAATTACTATTTTGCTTATCTTAAATATTTAAATATAATAAAAATAACAAAATATTTAAATATAAAAAAAATAATAAAATATTTAAATATAATAAAAATAATAAAATATTTAAATATAATAAAAATAATAAAATATTTAAATATAATAAAAAATTTTAATATAATAAAATATTTAAATATAATAAAAGTAATACAGGTTTTTAACTTTGATTAACATTTTTCTAAAGTATAATTATTTTTTGAAACCTTCAAGTCATCATTTTTTAATTTGATTTGCAAGGGGGAAAATTCCTGATGAAATAAGTACAAAATTCAATTAATTTTTTAAATTATACATGCTAGCTTAATAATGACCATCCAGCCATGCATCCAGCCAGACCATCATGACTTCTTATGGGCTCTATAAAAAACTGATAATGGCAACCGTCGCAATTAGATAAAATGAGGTCCGCAATAATTTGCCAACCTCAATCTTTTAAAGGTCGACATCAGGTCACCAAATGCCGACCCTAATTCCGAGGGATGGATAATGGTGATTTTGTCATACGTGTAAAATAAATGGTTAGTCATAACATAAACAGTCGCATTTTTATACTATAAAATATTTCAAAACAAATTACATTGGCAAAAAAACTTTCTTTAGTCATGCAGTCTTCTAGACTTGCTTGGTTATTCAAAGCATCAATTGATTGACTAATCAAGTCAGGAACTCTAAAAAATATTTGGAAATACAACATATAAGAAAAACAAGAAAAAACAACAGTAAAATTTTCATTTTCTTATAAAAGTCTAATTATTTTTTGATAAAAAAAAAAGTTTTATTAAAATTTTTGACATGAACTTTGCAATAAAATCAAAATTCATGATATTATTTGAAAATTATAAAATTAAAAACATATTGTGATATTAATTGAAATAGTTATTAGAGTACTTCTTAAGACAACATTAAAAAAAAAAATGTTTACTGGCATCCTCGTATTTTTTTATAAAATTTTATAAACAAAAAAAAATGGCACTGAACATCAATTTAGATTAACATATAACTTTCAAAGGTTGCTCAAGATCCTGGAACATTAAAGTATGTTTATTATATAAAAAACAAAAATACAACAAGCAAACACAACACACATATATATATATATTTATTTATTTATAGAATAATACAATGTGAATGTAGTTCTCATAAATATTAATTCCTTTTCTTGATAAAACATTGTCTAATGACACTATTTTTAAATTTATTTAAAGTAGTTGACTCAATAAATTTTGAGGAAGATCATTCATATAAGAACTTTACAGTTGGTATTTTAAACATAGTTTTTATTTTTAGTTACTTCTCTAACTATATGCAACATTGATACTATAATGTGCCCTGCAGGGCCCAGTAAATTTTAATGAACAAGCAAGAAAATTTAGATTATCTTGTTAACTTTATTACAAACTTTAAATATTTTAAACATTTGATCTCAAATCATCTCTTGATCTGATCATCTCTTGATCACATCATCTCTTGATCTGATCATCTCTTGATCACATCATCTCTTGATCTGATCATCTCTTGATCACATCATCTCTTGATCTGATCATCTCTTGATCACATCATCTCTTGATCTGATCATCTCTTGATCACATCATCTCTTGATCTGATCATCTCTTGATCACATCATCTCTTGATCTGATCATCTCTTGATCACATCATCTCTTGATCTGATCATCTCTTGATCTGATCATCTCTTGATCACATTATCTCTTGATCTGATCATCTCTTGATCACATCATCTCTTGATCTGATCATCTCTTGATCACATTATCTCTTGATCTGATCATCTCTTGATCACATCATCTCTTGATCACATCATCTCTTGATCTGATCATCTCTTGATCACATCATCTCTTGATCTGATCATCTCTTGATCACATCATCTCTTGATCCGATCATCTCTTGATCACATCATCTCTTGATCTGATCATCTCTTGATCACATCATCTCTTGATCTGATCATCTCTTGATCACATCATCTCTTGATCTGATCATCTCTTGATCACATCATCTCTTGATCTGATCATCTCTTGATCACATTATCTCTTGATCTGATCATCTCTTGATCACATTATCTCTTGATCTGATCATCTCTTGATCACATCATCTCTTGATCTGATCATCTCTTGATCACATCATCTCTTGATCTGATCATCTCTTGATCACATCATCTCTTGATCTGATCATCTCTTGATCACATCATCTCTTGATCTGATCATCTCTTGATCACATCATCTCTTGATCTGATCATCTCTTGATCACATTATCTCTTGATCTGATCATCTCTTGATCACATCATCTCTTGATCTGATCATCTCTTGATCACATCATCTCTTGATCTGATCATCTCTTGATCACATCATCTCTTGATCTGATCATCTCTTGATCACATCATCTCTTGATCTGATCATCTCTTGATCACATTATCTCTTGATCTGATCATCTCTTGATCACATCATCTCTTGATCTGATCATCTCTTGATCACATTATCTCTTGATCTGATCATCTCTTGATCACATCATCTCTTGATCTGATCATCTCTTGATCACATCATCTCTTGATCTGATCATCTCTTGATCACATCATCTCTTGATCTGATCATCTCTTGATCACATCATCTCTTGATCTGATCATCTCTTGATCACATTATCTCTTGATCTGATCATCTCTTGATCACATCATCTCTTGATCTGATCATCTCTTGATCACATCATCTCTTGATCTGATCATCTCTTGATCACATCATCTCTTGATCTGATCATCTCTTGATCACATCATCTCTTGATCTGATCATCTCTTGATCACATTATCTCTTGATCTGATCATCTCTTGATCACATCATCTCTTGATCTGATCTCTTGAGTTTCCATCCTCTGATCTTATTTTGATATTATGCTTTGAAACCTTAACTTTGAATAAAATTGAATCTTACCTTTACTAACTTACCTGGTCTCACTAAACTCTGTGGTCAAAAAAATTAATTTCAACAGTTCATGAAAGTTACTACAAAATTCAAATGTCTCGATATGACATCATATCAAGAATTTGATGTCATATCGAGACATTTGAATTTTGTAGCAACCTTCATGAACTGTTGAAATTAATTTTTTTGACCACAGAGTTTAGTGAGACCAGGTAAGTATCAACCACAAAATTCTATCGAGCATCTTCATTTCTCTCATCAATTACAAGCTCGTCATAATGTTGTTTCTTTTTTACAACTCTTTCTGTTTATAAGCTATTGCTATGTTGCATTTCAAAGCAAGGTCATTGGCTTCTTTTTCCAGATCATTAAAACTAGCATCATAGTTTTTTCTAATATTGTTAAGTTGAGATTCAAAGATTTGCAATAGATAATGTAGCTGGCAGCAACAACCATGTTTATAGTACTCTTCTGTATTGAGACAAATGAAAAGCTAGTGTTACCACCTTATTACAAACGACTAGAAAAATAACAAATTCAAATTTCTGAAGAGATGCTAGAATTCCCTTAGCTACTGCTAGATGCTTGGCTGTACAACTTTTTATTTGCCCTGCACCAATTTTCTTCAAAGCTACTACCAATGCTGGAAAATTCTGTAAAATAGAATCAACAGCTACTTTTCTAGATGCCCGTCTTTATTCAGGGCTGAGTATATAAATATATAAATAAATATATATATATATATACATATATATATATATATATATATATATATATATATATATATATATATATATATATATATATATATATATATATATATATATATATATATATATGTATATATATATGTATATATATATATACATATATATATATATATATATATATATATATATATATATATATATATATATATATATATATATATATATATATATATATATACACACTCAGCCCTCGGAATAAGAAAAAATGAGGTTGGCAATAAATTGGTGATTTTAAACAGTTTAAAGTCAGCATCAGGTTGGCAAAAAAATTTTGACACAAAGGTCTAACTATAATTATAATCTAACATAAATTACTGACCTCATTTTTAAGTTTATAAAAAATTGCTGACCTCGTTTTTTATAAACTAAAAAAACAGCTGCATAACCTTTGTTATTTAAGACTTAGGAAGTTTTAAAACTGCTCTAGACACATGATATTAACAAACTTGAATACTATGACTAGTAAGTAGAAAAAAACTTACTGACTGTACATGTCCAATATAGTAGAACAGCATTCCATTTTCTCAGCATGCTCGATCAGATGAACTTTTACACTTTCATTGTCCTGCTCATTTAACTGTTTACACACAAAGAATTAATAATTAATATTGAAGAAAAAATTGGTGTATAATTTTTTTTTAAAACAACATTGAGTACTGCTTTACATCAAAAAATGTATACCTTTTTAAAACATTTAGTTTTTGTCAAAAAATCAATTAGGTAGTTGTGCATTTGTTCTTTATCTCTCAATTGATTCTGGATCAACACTGATGAAGTAGTGAATCCCACTAAAATAACAATATAAGTAGTTAGTGGAATAATTAAAATATTAATTAAAAATATATTTTTAATTAAAATATTAATTAAAAATATATTTGATGTTAATCAACATTATTTTACAGCTTACCATTAATAGTCTGACTAGCCCATCTTGGATCAGAAACTGCAGGACTATTCAAAAGTTCTTTACTCAACATTATGATACTGTCTCGTAGTTCTTCACTTGAACATAGAATTGATGCAACAGTTTCATCATTCTAATGAGTAATTTTAAATTATTTAAGTTATTTTTTAAATATTTTTTGAATATAAACTGTTTAAAAATTTTCAAATTCAAATATTTTTGTCTTTTTCACATTTCATAACTTTTTATAAAATAAAAATGAAATTTCTGAAAACTTTTGAATTGCGTGTGAGCCTGTGTGTTTGTGTGAGAGTGAGTGCGTACATGTGTGTGACCTTTATAAAAAGTTAATTTCAAAAAAAAATTAGGCATTATTAATTGTGCATATGGTTTAAGATTCTTAAAAAGGCACATGGCAAAATATAGTAATTTGTAAATAAGAATATTAATAACATATTATTGATTATGAACCGGAAACTAAAAGCCAAACAACTATCTTATAACAAAGAACCAATAATATATTTTATTAACAAGTATAATAAATTTTATTTTGAATTAACAAGTTGCAGTTTCTTTGTTTTATTTAAAACTTTAAGTTTTGCAACACCTTGCAGAATTATCTTTAAACTATATATTATCTACTAAAATCTTTTTAGCAACTACCTTCCTAACTTAGTCTTTTTAGCAACTGTTACTTACCTACCTCAGTCTTTTTAGCAACTGTTACCTACTTAAATATTAAAGCAACTCAAAAATTGTCGAAAGAAAAAATAGATTGGAATATACAAAGATTTCTTTCTATTAGTTTTTTTTAAAAAACATTTGCAGTTTCCCAGTTGGATTTTAGATATTTTTGTGAATATTTGTTGTTGGTATTAAATATTTATTGCTTTTATCATATGGTTGAAAATTTTTTACAATTTTATACATACATATATATATATATATATATATATATATACACACACACACACACACACACATATATATATATATATATATATATATATATATATATATATATATATATTTAATTTTCTTTTAAATAAAGTTTCTCAAAAATAAAAATAAAAAACTAATTAATTAAAAACCCTAATGTAACTTACTAAATGACCTTTAGTAAATGCAATCAACATATTTCTCAAAACTGAATAAGTATCATGACTAACATGATTTTCAGCATCTCCCTAAATAAATACTCTGATATATATATATATATATATATATATATATATATATATATATATATATATATATATATATATATATATATATATGTATATATATATATATGTATATATATATATGCAATAAACTCCCGGTTATTCGAACCTCCAAGGAGAAAAAGAATTTACTTTGAATAACTGTAAATCCTATACCGGATATAGTTTGTTCTGAAAAAATACTTTTGAATAAGTGGGAATTTCAAATAAGTGCCAGTTCGTACAACCCGGAGTTTACTGTATACATACATACATACATACATACATACATACATATATACATACATATATATATATATATATATATATATATATATATATATATATATATATATATATATATATATATATATATATATATATATATATATATATATATATATATATTATATATATATATATATATGTTTAGACAAAATTAAGTTTTATGTTTACTCAATTTTTTTAATTGACAAATAATCTAAAAAATAAAATAACCTGTTCCATTTCATCAAAAGTTTTAAGTTGTTCATTTAATATTCTCTCTTGAATTAAACTAAAATTTAAAAAATGGATTTTTTTTTGTTATTTTAACTGCAAAACATTTACAACACATTTGTTTTTATAACAAAATAGCTAACATGTTTGGAGAAGAAACCAACAGCTTCAGAAAACCATGTTGACGGGATAAAAATATTGCATTGTTACCATAAACACCTGTAAATCAAAGGTAAACTACTTTTGAGAAAATTACAAAACAGAATATGTTGAACAGAAAAACATATCAATGCTGTTAGTTTTTTATATCTCAACTATATTTATACTATAATTTATCATTTTAAAATGATCTTTGGACTTAAAAGTTCTGGGGCAGCCTGTTTGAAAAATTACACTTTTTAGCAGTTGTTGTGAAAGTTGGCTAACTTTCACTTTCATTTTTCATTTTAATTTAGAATTTTCTACTTTAATTTGGCAATTTTTATTTTAACTTAGCCAATTTTTATTTTAAAATGGCGCACTAAACTTACAACTCATAACTCATAACTCAGGCTCCTCAACCCAAGAATGACATAGTACTCAGGCTCCTCAACTTAAGAATGACATTGTACATTGTTACAAATGACAACTCAAAACTCAGGCTCCTCAACCCAAGAACGAAATAGTACATTGTTACAAATGACAACTCAAAACTTAGGCTCCTCAACCCAAGGATGACATAGTACTCAGGCTCCTCAACCCAAGAATGACATAGTACTCAGGCTCCTCAACCCAAGAATGACATAGTACTCAGGCTCCTCAACCCAAGAATGACATAGTACTCAGGCTCCTCAACCCAAGAATGACATAGTACATTGTTACAAATGATAACAGTTTGATCCAAACTTCCAAATTATTCAGCTGCTGAGCGCAACATTCAATGAAGTCAGTCATTTACAGTTTGATTCTTGTATGCACCATGTAAATATTATTGTTAAAAAAGTCATGTGCACACATGTACCAAACTGGAACCTTGTCGTGACCAAGCAGTTAACACTTTCGACCTTCATTTGCAGCCTTTGTGTTCATTTGCAAAGGTTTGTAATGAACATTTTTATAGGCAAAAGTACCACCATAAAGAGCTTGGTGTATCGTAGAAATTGTAACATCGATGTAAAGTTTGTTGTATATTTGGGCTTTGATTTCATTTAAATTCATAATTGCTTTTGATCTGATCTAAAATGACATCAAGATGACTAAAATGACTTCAGATCACGATGACTAAAACGTCATCATTTTAGTCAAGATGACTAAAATGACATCAAGATCACTAAAATGACTTCAGATCACGATGACTAAAATGTCATCATTTTAGTCAAGATGACTAAAATGACATCAAGATGACTAAAATGACTTCAGATCACGATGACTAAAATGTCATCATTTTAGTCAAGATGACTAAAATGACATCAAGATCACTAAAATGACTTCAGATCACGATGACTAAAATGTCATCATTTTAGTCAAGATGACTAAAATGACATCAAGATCACTAAAATGACTTCAGATCACGATGACTAAAATGTCATCATTTTAGTCAAGATGACTAAAATGACATCAAGATGACTAAAATGACTTCAGATCACGATGACTAAAATGTCATCATTTTGGTCAAGATGACTAAAATGACATCAAGATGACTAAAATGACTTCAGATCACGATGACTAAAATGTCATCATTTTAGTCAAGATGACTAAAATGACATCAAGATGACTAAAATGACTTCAGATCACGATGACTAAAATGTCATCATTTTAGTCAAGATGACTAAAATGACATCAAGATCACTAAAATGACTTCAGATCACGATGACTAAAATGTCATCATTTTAGTCAAGATGACTAAAATGACATCAAGATCACTAAAATGACTTCAGATCACGATGACTAAAATGTCATCATTTTAGTCAAGATGACTAAAACGACATCAAGATCACTAAAATGACTTCAGATCACGATGACTAAAATGTCATCATTTTAGTCAAGATGACTAAAACGACATCAAGATCACTAAAATGACTTCAGATCACGATGACTAAAATGTCATCATTTTAGTCAAGATGACTAAAACGACATCAAGATCACTAAAATGACTTCAGATCACAATGACTAAAATGTCATCATTTTAGTCAAGATGACTAAAATGACATCAAGATCACTAAAATGACTTCAGATCACGATGACTAAAATGTCATCATTTTAGTCAAGATGACTAAAATGACATCAAGATGACTAAAATGACTTCAGATCACGATGACTAAAATGTCATCATTTTAGTCAAGATGACTAAAATGACATCAAGATGACTAAAATGACTTCAGATCACGATGACTAAAATGTCATCATTTTAGTCAAGATGACTAAAATGACATCAAGATCACTAAAATGACTTCAGATCACGATGACTAAAATGTCATCATTTTAGTCAAGATGACTAAAATGACATCAAGATCACTAAAATGACTTCAGATCACGATGACTAAAATGTCATCATTTTAGTCAAGATGACTAAAACGACATCAAGATCACTAAAATGACTTCAGATCACGATGACTAAAATGTCATCATTTTAGTCAAGATGACTAAAACGACATCAAGATCACTAAAATGACTTCAGATCACAATGACTAAAATGTCATCATTTTAGTCAAGATGACTAAAATGACATCAAGATCACTAAAATGACTTCAGATCACGATGACTAAAATGTCATCATTTTAGTCAAGATGACTAAAATGACATCAAGATCACTAAAATGACTTCAGATCACGATGACTAAAATGTCATCATTTTAGTCAAGATGACTAAAATGACATCAAGATCACTAAAATGACTTCAGATCACGATGACTAAAATGTCATCATTTTAGTCAAGATGACTAAAATGACATCAAGATCACTAAAATGACTTCAGATCACGATGACTAAAATGTCATCATTTTAGTCAAGATGACTAAAATGACATCAAGATGACTAAAATGACTACAGATCACGATGACTAAAATGTCATCATTTTAGTCAAGATGACTAAAATGACATCAAGATCACTAAAATGACTTCAGATCACGATGACTAAAATGTCATCATTTTAGTCAAGATGACTAAAATGACATCAAGATCACTAAAATGACTTCAGATCACGATGACTAAAATGTCATCATTTTAGTCAAGATGACTAAAATGACATCAAGATGACTAAAATGACTTCAGATCACGATGACTAAAATGTCATCATTTTAGTCAAGATGACTAAAATGACATCAAGATCACTAAAATGACTTCAGATCACGATGACTAAAATGTCATCATTTTAGTCAAGATGACTAAAATGACATCAAGATCACTAAAATGACTTCAGATCACGATGACTAAAATGTCATCATTTTAGTCAAGATGACTAAAATGACATCAAGATCACTAAAATGACTCCAGATCACGATGACTAAAATGTCATCATTTTAGTCAAGATGACTAAAATGACATCAAGATCACTAAAATGACTTCAGTTTCTTCTTCTTGTACCCTATGCATTTCCCTTTCTCCATATCAATTTATTGGTGTGCTGTAAGAATGCTGACACTGTTGGCTGCAGCAATTGCTTTTCAGTCACCCCTTGCATTGGCTACATCATAAATGAGTTGGCATTCAGCAGTAGTGACTTTTTTTGTAAGGCATTTTTTTGATGAATTTAAAAAATTCTTTTTTTGATGAATTTATTAAATTCAGCTTAATAAATTTTTAGAACTCATATGGCTGATAAAATTTTCATGCCAAATTAAAATGAAAATTTAAAAATTAAAATGAAAAAAATGCCAAATTAAAGTGAAAAGTGTCAAATTAAAATGAAAAAAGTGCCTAATTAAAATAAAAATTCGCTAACTTAAACGCAAAAAGGTGTAGTAAAAAGCAGCTTTAAAAAATGTTAGTGCTATAACTTATATGCTTAAACATTTTTTAAAAATACAATGTTGTTCTCATATTAATATTGTTGTTGATTTTTTTTTATTGAATATTATAAAGCTTTAAAGTAAATGTCACATTTAACATTAGATGTTGCCATAACAACAATTTATGTACTTATATAGTTTATTTTTATAGTTAAAATTTAAAATTTTAACTACATAAAAAAATTTATGTCATATTGAACTTGACTGCATTATATTTACAACTATATTTCAAAAAATTAAATTTTTGTTAAACAAGCAAAAAACATTGCAATAAAAATTGAAACCTGCACATAGTATGCCACCAATGGTGCTTGTAAACTGTATATTAATAACACTCTTTAAATTTTTTGATACTGTAAAAAAATTAATCATACAATATTATTTGAAAATATACACATTGTATAATTACTATACATATATTTTTATATTTTAATTGAAAATATATCATGTTCTAAATATATTTGTATTCAATATTAACAGTTATAACTAATTTATTAATTAAATTATTCATGAAGTAATGATAGAAAAACATTAGTATGTATATAATTTTTTGAATTATTGGATTATATGTTTAATGTATTTCTTTGTTGAACTTAACCTCTCTAATACCATTTTGAATTCTATACTTTAACACTATGGGACTACCCACCCATATGTAAGCAATTTCATACAATAAAATAATAAAATAATAGTAAAACATAGTAATAAAAAAAAATGAAACGAAAATAAATTTTTAAAATGTAGAAATTAGAATAATTAAAAGTAAATTTCAAAAGATTAAGTATTATTTACTTTATATATTTGAAGTCTAATAACTTTTCTTTAATATTTATTGCACAAAAACAAACGTTAATTCAAAAAAAAACAACGTTAATTCAAAAAAAACAAACCTAATTATTTTTCTTAACTCAAAAAAACCTTGACAAACAATATTATTAAAGTATTCATTTAAAAAATTATTTTAATGAACCTAAATTAAATATGCGTAAAGTTGTAAACTGAAAAAAAAAACTTTTCTGAATTCTAATAAACCTGCATTAATTTCAATTATTACAAGCTTATATGGCTCCTTATAGGTAGCCAAATAAGCCTGCATTGTTTTTTTCTTCTTCTTTCTATTTAGGTCAAAAACATTTATGATTTATTTGTTGTTGTTTAGAGATTATAAATCATACTTGCCACTGAACCATTTTCCATATACTTATATAGTAAGAAAGTTAATAGCTTACTATTTTGTTCCAAAAAGAAAATTTTAAAAAAGATTTTTAAAAGTGATCCCCAAGTGCAGAGGCATGTTGTGTTTATGTTAAAAATTGTTTTACCTTTAATATAAATGTTTAGATTTTTAAAATAGGCGTTATTTTTTGAGCGTATCATTTTTGTACAAGTATTATAGAATGTTATATTTCACTTTTATAAAATATTATATTTGAGTTGACTAATATCCTCTTGTTTTGTGCAAGAGCTTAATAAAATTAAAACAAAATGTTAAATAAGAATTTGCTGGCAAACTCCTAAATAAAAAGTTGCATTCATTATATATTCTCCATCTTTCTTTCTTTTTTTAAGCAATGAGATTTTTTTTCTACATTTATGTAGGCTGCTTTTTGCTATGTTTTTTTTTTTTCTATTAAAGTGAATTTTTAATTAATAACTAATTAGGATAAATGATACTATTTATTACAGATATTTGAAGAATTGTTAAATTTCTTTATCAGAAATAATAGATCATTATGTTTTAGTTCAAATAGCTAAAATTTTTAATATGATTATTGATAAAAAGGTAATTATGTCATATTTTCCATTTACATTTTGATAACTAAAAATGTTGGTAACTCTATACCATTTAAAACCTTTTTAAAAAAATGAAGAAAACCTGTAAGGATATAATAAACGAAATAGTTGAAGATGTTGTCAGCTATGAAATTGACATGGCTAAAGCGTCAAAATTAATTCATTTGAGTGTTGGATATTCATGTGGATTTGAGTGTTGGATTCATGTGGATATTGCAAATTGCAATTTGCAAATTCATTTGAGTGTTTCATTTGAGTGCAATTTGCGAATTCATTTGAAATTCAAATTGCAAATTGCAAATTCATTTGAGTGTTGGATTCATGTGGATATTGCAAAACTTTGCTACTTGAAAAAGAATGTCTTTGTTGAATTAAAGGCAATGAAAGTTGGTACAGGTAACCCCTGGTGACAAAATTTGGCACAATCTTTGAGAAGCTAAAACTTATTGAATTTTTAGTTATCTAGTCTTACTTTTTTAGTTGTTTTGTTTATTAAGTGTTAGTTATTTTTTACTGAAAGTTTTGTTAACTTAAATTAATTAATAAAAAAGTTATCCAAAAATGAAGCCGACTACATTAATTGAACAAGTGTACAACTATTGTGATTTGCATCCTAATGCTAAAACTAAGAGCATCGTAGTGTATTTAGCTGCCTCTAATCACCCCTAAAAAACAAATGGCAAAGTGGAATGACAATGAGACAAAGTCTCGTATACCTGGATGAGGCAGAAAACCAAAAGTTATGACTGCTAGGAACATCAATCGCCTCAAAAGGTCTTTTGAACAGCCGGTCTGGAACTTTACCAAAAAAAATTGCATATAAGTTCAAGTTTGATCATTCCTACATTGTAAAAACAATAAAAAACAAAACAAACATTTGTTATTTTAAGAAAAAACAAATTTCTGATCGCACTGATAAACAGTTAAATCAGTTGCAATTGAAGTGTGGAAGAATTTGTCACAAATTCAGAAACCGTAACTTTGCCATTGATGATGAGCCTTATTTTAAATTTAAACTTACAAATAAAAATTCAAATGCTGGATTACTTAGATGAAGTAAAAAATGTACCTAAAAATGTAAAATATAAGCGCAAAAGCAAATTTAAAAGAAAAATTCTTGTGTGGATTACCATATCCTCTTGTAGAGTCTCAAAACCATTTATTGTTCCTGCAAGACTGGCAATTAACCAAACAGTGTACAAAAATCATTGCATTATCAAACAACTGATTCCTTTTACCAACAAACATCACAGTGATGGTAATTATATACTCTGGCCTGACTTGACCTCTTCACATTATGCTAGAAGTGTGACCAATTACTTCGAAGAGAAAAATATCCGTTATGTAACAAAAGTTGATAATCCAGCATGTGTCCCAGAATTATGACCAAAAGAAGATTTCTGATCAATCCTTAAATGCGTATGAAAACAATTAGAAAGCTGAAAATAAAAATCAGCTGCAAAAAAGAATTCATTTTTGTTTAAGAAAAGTTGATAAAAATCTTGTACAAGCAATGTGCAAACATGTATACAAAAAAGTTGACGCAGTACATCGTAATGGCAAGAAAGCATTATTTCAGTCCCGAAAATAAAAAACTAATATATTAGTTTTTTATTTGCCTATTATTTTATACTACTTTTTTGTTCATTAATGCATTTGTTGCACTATTACTGCTTGTGTTTATTTTGTGCCAAATTTTTGTCACTAAGGGTTAATATAAATAATTGTGATATTTAAAAGATATAAACTTATGTAAGCAGTGTTAAGAAAAAAAGTTATAAGAAACATCAAATTTTTTTTTGTACAATATGGCTAAATAAAGTAAAAAAAAGTTTGTTTTTTTAAGGCCAAAAGTGCATAACAGAGCATAGAGGTTTTGTGACTAGTTGCATTGAATCATATCCATTATTTATATAATTTTTTTCACTTAAAAATGTGTAAATGTTTTTTTTTTTTTCAAAGAACATTTAGGTATGCTGCTAATCGTCAGTTTACATGGTTAACTTACTGTAAACTTGGAAGATATAACAGAAAAGTTCTACTGGCATGTGTTGTTTCATCAATAAGAGCAATAAGAGAAGATCGGACAATTTTGTCTCCCTAAAGTTTATAAATATTTAATAAATCTTGTCTTCGTAAAATTATATAAATAAATACTAGTAAATAAAAAAAGTAAACGACAGTAACAATTACTATATTAAAACATAAAACAAAATGGAAAATTTTAAAGTAAAGTATATAATTACTAAATGAATGGATAATAAATAAACAATAAATAGTGCTTAAAAAAAATTAAAATTGTATTCATATAAAAATGCATTGCAGCTAAAAAAATCCTTTAAATGATAAAAACATTACCAATAACATCATATCTTCAAAACCAAATATATGTGGAAGTTGTAAAAAGTAATGAAGATGAAATATGTTAAGAACGTGTTTCAGTCTTGCAAACATCTTCAGAGAATATGACAATTATGTTCCATTGGCATCAAACAATATTGTATAAGTGAAGACTGAGAAAAAAAAATTAACAATAAACAACTGAAGTACTCTTTTATTTTTTGAAAAAAACTTTAACAAACTTTTAAGTTGTTGTCTAGCATGTGGTGATTCTGTTGATAGATCAAACATAGAAGTTTATAATAAGTGGATTTATTTTTATAGCATCATTTAAAAATAAATTGTCTTGACAATTTCAAAGTAGAATGGAGATCTCAGCTGATAGTAGGTCATTTAAAAGGACTCGGTAATTTGTTTTTGCCTATATTGATTGCATTTCGAGGAATAACATTTTGATTATAGCATATATTATAATATATCGAAAACCAACTAAAAATAAATAAATTACACAAATTGTCATTATTTAAAATTTATATATGATACTTATTAATTTTAAATTTTTAAATGATTAAATTTTAAATCTAGCACACTTTTTAGTTCTTTCAATAATTTCAGCTTTGGTCTCAGTTGATGGTTTTTGGTATACCGATATTTAATTTCTCCATGACTATCTAGTCTATAATTCCATTTAGCATTAAAATTATGATCAAGAGCTGCCCCACTACTATGTGATTTTGGTATATATTTTAATTAAACATAATAAAAAATTCATTTTATAGCTTTGAAAAGCAAACAATAAGTATAGTTTATATACTGCAAAATCGCCTAAGTTCTGTCATTTAGGCTTTAAATATTAATTTATCATGCATAAATTAAACATTTTTTTTTTCTTCTGAAACAGAAAATTATATTGATATATTTTAAAAGGTTTTTAAAAACTTTGACACTTGTAGAATTGCTTCAGTTAAATGTTTAAAGATTGTTCTTTAAGAGTGTTTCACTAAGTTAACTAAAAATTGATAAGCGTCAGATTTTGCATCCAACCAGTTTTGTGAATATTCATCTTTTTTAGAATAAAACTTGTGTTCGCATTTATGAAAATATTAACTTACTAAACACTAATAGTATTAAACAGCTATTAAACAGCCACCTGATTACATTTCAAATATGGTATAAAATGGATGAAAATTTTTCATACATTAAACATGAATTTTTACTCCACTAAACACTCCACCAAAAATGATTTATTACTGATGGAATCCATTCTAGTAAGTCTTTTTTAGAACTATTTTTACTTGCTTTGTGCATTTTTTTACTAATTGACTTAGCAACGTGTGCCATGGATCATATTGATGATTTATATTGTTAAATCTTGGATCCACTTTTAAAGTTTTTTAGATTTAAGTATGATGATCTGTAGCTATAAAATCAATTTTTACTCCTGCTTTTTTTAATGTTTTTAATACCCAAATAAATCCTTCTTTTTCCATATAGTTGGAATTCTTTATTTCTGTCACTGAAATGACAACTGAATCATTAACACATCTAGATTCAGGTTTGATAAATGTATAAGTACAATACTTTGCATTATGACCAGGACTGTCGCATCTGCCATCACTAAAAAGTGAAACAACCTTTCTGGTTCATAACATTTTAATGATTTTCCTAATGAATTTCCACCTTTTTATAACTAATGGCATATTGAAGTTTTTTTAAATATGAGTCTGAAAAAATCTTCATTCTTGCAAAACATTCAAATTTAGAAAACTGTATTCCTAAAAATGCAATCAATATTGACAAAAATAAATTACCGAATCCTTTTAAATTATCAGTTGTCACATTTTTCTTTGTTTTCATCGATGTCTTCACTTGTACTGGTACAACTGCCATCATTTGATGACAGTGGAACATAATCATTGTTTTCCTCATCATCTTCCAGAGAAAACAATTGCAAGTCTGAAATATTTTCAAAAAATTCATTATTGTCGTTACTCGTCTCAATTCCCACATTATATATTTGGTCATTCGTGTCCATCAAAAGTTCTTTGGTTTCAGTATAACCACTATCTGATGATACAATGTAATCCGAAATATCATTATCAATTGAAGGCAGCTTTGTTTGGGTTGCGATATCTGAATACAACTTTAAGTCTGTTTGGACACTATTGCTAACAGATCGCAAGTGGGTTCTTTTGTTCTAAATTTTTTACTAAATTTAAAAACTAAATTCTAACTATAAAACCCTTGTTTAAACAAATGTAAATCTTTTTAAAAGGCTAGAAAGTTAACAATAAAAATCCTCTAACACTACCCAATATTCCATTGTTTTTTTATAACATCAAAGTAAAGCTGCAGCAGGCCTTGTGATGAATAAAAACTGCGCGACGCATAAGCACGACGTGATTTTTGACGTCATTAAATTCTTTTTATTTTATTTTCATATTTATCGACATTAATTGCACCAATTTACTTAATTACCGTAAAACTACTTTAAATCATTAATGTAGAAATGTTATTATTTTAAAATGTTTTGGAATGTTTCGTTTTTTAAAATGTAAAAACATTTGTTTATTTTCTCGACGTTTGACACATTTTGTCTATACTAAACGAATAAAAAACATAAGTTTTTCAAATAATTATTTTTTTTCTTTTTAAAAAGTTAGAGAGAAATAAACTGGAAATTTTAATATGGTACGATTAAAAACTGTGCAATAGCTAATATTTTTACTGGCCATTTTATATAATATTTTTTTATTTATTTATTTTATTTATTTTCATAAAGCAGTTAATAAGCACAATCACTCGTATTATTAAAAAACTTTAACGAACGTTTTGAATAGATTTTTAATGTTTACATAGAATTTTATTTTTGGTAAAATAAAAAAAATTGTTAGAATAAAAACCTTTTAGGTATAAAAGAAATATTTCAGCGAAAAAATTATTATTAAAAATTATTATTAAAAATTATTATTAAAAATTATTCGAAAAACTATTGATGTTCTATTTTTCAGCAGCTGTTCTTGAGCACGCTTCATTGAGTTTCGGTAACTTTTAGCAAAAAAGCGATTGTTATTATTTAAGTAATTTTTTTCGAGTTACTTTTTACAAAAATTTTAATAACTGTACTTTTTTATTGAATCAAGTAGAATATGTTTTAATATTAATCTTTTTATTTTTTTTTATTTGCGCTTACCAATTTTTAAAATGTTTCCTCGAAATTACTCTTAAATACTTTAAATTCGTCTAGCAGTTAATAAATATTTTTAAATCTATGGAATAATTTTAAAACCTAACAAACCCCTGTAAAATAATTATTTAAGTTAAAAATCTAAAACTAAAAGAAAGTATTTTTGTTCAATTTTATCGACAACTTTGCTATTGCTAAATAATTTTATTAAAATGTTAGCTTAAAAAGATTTAAACTTTTTTTAATATGAATTTTTTCTACTTGTAAATAATGAGCATATTTTTTTTTTTTGTAATTCAAACTTTTATATCAACTGCGTGCGGTTTTTAAAATACTTTATTAAATGTTAAAATAATCGTAAATTACTTCATTAAAATTCAGCTCAAAAATATCTTTAAATATACTCAAACAAAAAATTTGCTCGATGCAAACAGCCCTAGCTACACGCAAAATCGCTCTTGGACAACGTAAAATTCACATCGCCCGACGCTTTATCGCAAGGCCTGCTGCAGGAACATATTTGTTTTGCTAGATTGTAAAATGCATCAGGGGTTGACCATAAAAAACGTCACGGTCTAAAAGATAGGGGGGGGCTAGTGGTTTTGTGATGACTCATGCTAAAGTGTAGGATTTTGTGGTGAGGGGAGGGGGAGTCAAAACTGGTCGAAAATTGCATGATGTAATTTATGGACAACCACTTAGCGCAAAAAAAGTTTTCTCGCCTAACTTCCCAAAGTTCTCAGGAAAAAAAAGTCAGACAAAATATTGTCTAGATTTTTGTAAATAATAAATTTATAATGAGGTAATAGTTCAAACCAGAAGCAGCAGGTTCGCTTTTTGTAAGTTGAAATACCTAACTTCCAGACATGGAGCAAACTCTAAATATTTACATGTTTATGCTTATGTCAAATAAAGATGCTTTGAAAAATTGCAACGATCTCTTATTTTTTAGAAATTATGACCATATAGAGTTTTAACGCATTCAATTTAAGAGGGAGGTAGACTTTGCAGGGTCAAAAAAATCGATCGCTAAGATATTATTGCATGAAATTTGAAATTTGTCGATAAACATAAATTTAGATAAAAACAGAAAAGAAAATATTTTATAAGGTTGTTGCTTCCACATTAAGGGAGTCAAAATTCAAGGGTTTTTTTATTCCTAAGCTACTTAGTTCGTTATTATCGTTATTAGCTATTTCAAACACAAATAATTAAACCCGCCATTTTTTTTTAAACAATATCTTTAATATAAACACAACTTGTCTCTGCATTTGGGGATCCCTTTAAATAACAATTTACTTATTAGTGATCAAAAGTGAGTCACAAAGTTAACTATCTAAGTAGGAATTCAAAAACATTGAGAATAATAAAATCTTTAGGCTTTAGTGCCGGAAGGGTCAGTGATACTAGACAAAATCATTCAATGTGGTGAACATTAAAGTCACTAATAACAACAACAAAAAACATTTATATTTGTTGTTTTTACAGATTAGAAACCATACTTGCCACTGAACCATTTTCCATATACTTATAAAGTCAAAAAGTAATATCAATTTACAGCTTACTATTTTTTTCCAAAAAGGGAATTCTAAAATTGGACATTTTAAATAAATATTTTTATATTGATGAGCCTACTAAGCTTGTATAGTGTGCTTCACATGCAGATAGAGTTTCCTCTGATGAGTTTAACCTTGATACTTCTCAACTGAAGTTTTTAGATTAAACACGATACTAACAAATAATCAAATATTTCACAATTGCTCATCTTAATTTTATGCGTACTAATGACTTGCCATTTTATTTTGACTGAAACAGATTTAAATTTGAACATGAATTAATTAAATGATAAATTAAGAATTATATAGAATAATAAATCTTAAAAGAAGGCTAATTATATTTAATCCAAATTAGATTTCAAAAATAATAAATATCTAATCATTTAATTAACTAGCCCAGTTATTTAAAAAATAACAATGTTTTAAATTTAAAATAATTAGATATATTTATCCTAGCATGATATATATTCTAATAAATATGAAAAAATCAGTTATAAATATAAAAAAGATTATAATAAAAAGTAATTACAACTTACAAGATCGCGAAAAAATCTGCTTCGATGAGGATATGTAAGCTTGGTAGTCAGTACTTGTAACACTTAGCTGAATATCCCCCTCTAACTTATGCTTGAAATAAATTTATTTTTTACTATTAAGTAAAAAATTTAAAACAATTATATGAAAAAAATTTATAAAACAGGTAATGATAACTGCTTACAATATCTATGTCAAGATCAATCAGACTTTCAAAGTGAGAGCAGTTATTTTTTAAAGTACCTAATAATAAATAAAAAAATTGAATAAAAATATTTAATTTTATAAGATTTTATTTTATTTTTTACTGATACTTACTGGAAGAGGCTAGCCTCAAATACCTAATATACTATAGAAACATGGCGCAATTATGAAACTTAAAAAAAAGAATTTTTTTTTTTTTAATTAGAAAATTAAATAATACAAAATAATTTACCTAATGACAGTTGGCTTTTGTTGGCAAAATTTAGTACTAAAAGAAAAACTGTGCCAAAACCTGTATTCTTCATGTCAACAACGTCAACACTAGATACATTTTTTAACTAAATGTAAGAAAAATATTTTCAATTTTTAAGTATATTTTAAATGCCTTTAAATTTAAAAACACTTTTAAACCTGTAAAATGTCGAGTGGTTCTGATGAAGCTTTAAATTTAAAAACACTTTTAAACCTGTAAAATGTCAAACCTGTAAAATGTCGAGTGGTTCTGATGAAGCTTTTAATGTAGAGAGTAGATCGACTTTGAAAATCGTCTTTAAAATGAACATAAAAATAATAAAAATATGGAATTTTGCAAACAAACAAACACTTAAAATGTAAGATTAATTTGAAAAAAATTACTTTACAAGCTGACTTTTGGTCACCGGCTACTTCAAACTTTTGGAAACTTCCTTTATCTACCACATAAAAATATCTGAAAAAGATAACTGACTAAAAAAATACAATGACATTAAAACTTTATTAACAAAAACGCATCTTTTTATATATGAACATTATTAATAAGATACATCTTTTAATATACGAACTTTAAATTTGAATATAAAATTATACTAAAAACCGATGGTGGTTTATATTTCTGTGTAACTTACAGCAACCTTTGTATGTTAAAACAATTCTAAATAAAGTGCATTCTGGGTAACATACATCTTTAGTTAACTTACATTAGCCCTGAGTGTTTAATAGGTCAGAGCGACTAACAACACCCCTAGATGATTTATGACAGACCAGGGTTTACCCAATATAGAAAACTCACTTTTGTTTTATTTGAACACCAAAACTGTAAACTGCAAACTGACAATATAGTTTGATTCATTACTTCTATATATTAAACAGCTATTATAACATTCTTTTCAAAAAAGAAACAAAAATGCTTGGAAATTTTAATGACCAGAAAAGTTACCTTTCATTTTCAGAAAAATCTATGGTGCCACAACAGAGACACGGGTTACCCTGGAAACAAAGTTTTATCAATAAAAAAAAAGCAGCTTCAGGTAACATTAAAAACTTCAAGATTTCGATGTTTAAAATAGACTAATGTACTAAAACAAACCTTAAAAAAACAAAAGTATTTTTGAAATAAAAATAAAGAAAGATAACTTACTGAACTTTCTTGAGTTGAAGGCTGTAACCAATAACTAGACATTCGTTTCCCGATGCCTGACAGCATTCCAGCAGATGCAAATAACTGTTGGTATTGTATGTTTGACTATCAAGTAAATAATTAGAAATAAATAAAAACCCATCATATTTTTAAACTTATTTATTTTGACAAATTAATTGTCACTTGCACTATAAAAAAAAAACTGTAATTTATGGTTTTACCGTTTCGATAATTTTCATTATTGATTTTAATAATACTGATTAATAATTATTAATAATCAGTATTATTAAAGTATATTAGATGTTAATATAATAAAAAATATTAGTATATAAGATGTTAATATAATAAAAAAGACATAAATATGGGAGAAACACAAAAAAAATAAAAAAGCAAAAATAAATTGAAAACCTTTATTATATAAATATTATTAAAAAAAAAAAACTTTATATTAAATAAATATATTATGGGGTAAATATTTTAAAATTTTCTTTAATCAAGGCATTCGAATAGCTAGATATGGGTGCTAATAGCATATGTCTGCTAGATAAGGGTCATTTCTGATAATACACTTACATTTTATAACATTATTATAGATTTTTCTGTATCACAGTAGGAAATTACTGAGTAATATCTTTTATTGTCAGAGATTTTTTATTTAATTGCTTTCGACTAAATTATAAAGCTCTTGTAATTTGTTCAACATCTGGGTACTTCCTAACACAAAAGTCAAGCTGAAGTTTTGTTTGAAAGAGGTTTTTGCATTTTGATATAATTCTATTAAAATGTACTGGAATTCTGTTTCGACCAGAATTTGTGACTTTTAGGTCATTCCGGTTCCGGCCGGAATTACAATATTTTAAGCTGGAATGCCTGAATTTATTTTTTACCTTTTTTTTTTAAGACATGTGACAAAGACTGTGTAAATTAAATCAAAAAATCATTATCCTACAGAGCAATGAAGAACTATAGGTAAACCTAGGTAAAAAATACAAAATTCTTAACAAACACATGTAATTTTATTTGCAATTTTATAATCAAATATGAAAGGACTTCTAGAAGTTTAGAAACATTGTGGTGCAAAAAGAGTTTCTATCCAGTTTTGAGCAACAAACTAGCTCTTTTTTTCATTAAAAATGTTACCTTCCTCTTCCTTCCTCTGATACTACTCTTATTTTAAATTTTAAATAATTTTAAAAGTATAGAATGCCTAATACAATAAATATTTCAATTTTAACCTAAATGGAAAAATAGAAAACAAAGATATAATTTTAAACAAAAATATTATGCAGGTTAAAACTTTCAATAAATAAAAATTTAAGAAACAAATATAAACAACATATTAGTTTTAAATGAAACAAGAATCAAATTAATAAAATGGGTTGTATATATACTATAGGTTATAAATATATATATTATGTAGCCACCATGCTGAGGTGTAGGCTTTCACTTTCAATCTTGAAGGTAAAAAATTGCATAAATATAAATCTCATTCTCATTCCAAAAAATTGCATAAATATAAATCTCATTCTCAATTATTTTTAACAACTCCAGCAAATCTGATTCAGACTGGAATTTAAAATTTCCAATCCGGTACAACCCTAATTTAACAAAGAAATTTTCTTATTATAATTTTTGTCAATAACTATTTCTAAATATAGTTTACTTTTCTTAAACATACTTTATTTTAATGTGTGATATAATTCAAGTGTTAAATGCAACTTACCTACAGGTAAGCATTAATCAGCAAAACAAATAACAACAAGCTGCTGTTGCTAGGAGAGCTTTAACAAACTAAGTATAAAAACTTATTTTTATACAATACATAAACATGACGACAAAAAAAAAAAAAAATTTTAAACTGCACAATTGAAGCTTGTACCACTTTTATCCAATCATAATTTGTGGTTCTTGTTAAAAGCAGGTAAAGAACAAAGAAAAAACGTTTTCAAAGTTGCATTTTTCATTGATTGCTTTAAGACTCAGCAGCAATATTTATTACAATTACAAAGTTTTACTTTCACTCTTTTTTTTCCCCCTCTTTCACTCTTTTTTCCCCCCCTCTTTCACTCTTTTTTTCCCCCTATTTTTATGTTGCTCTCTTTTTTTTGAATTGATTTCAATTTATTTCATGTGATTCTATTTCTTTTACATAAAATCTTTTTTTACAGTTATACCTCTTTTGTTCTTTGGTATCATTACAATTGCTTTCTTTTTTTTTTGGAATTTTAATTGGAATCTTCTCAGGTAATGAATTAAATTTTAGTCACTGACACAAAGTTTTATAAGTTCTAAGTTTTACATCAAAGAAAATCTATTTTAATTTTACATTAAAAAATAAATAAATGAGAAAGAAAACAAAAGTTATTTAATTTCTAACCAGGTGTATGTCTGCAAAACTATTAAGTTTAAATTTTTGTTTTAAATATTGTAGAGTTAGTATTGTAAAAGTATTTTTCAGAGCAACAGATTAGAAATTAGAAATTTTTTTATACATTTAAATACAAAAAGCACTTTAAATAAACATTTTTACATAAAAAGTGATTTAAAAGTAATATAAATATCTATCAAATAATCATTATAATAAACAACTTAACAACAAAAAAAAAAGTTTAAAAATTACTAACATTATTGTGTACTGTAATCAGATAAATTTCACCTGTACTTGCTAACAGTATCCATCCATATGGCTAAAAAAATTTAGAAAACTATCATATGAAATATAATTCATACTCAACTCATATATATGTATTAAATAACTATCATATGAAATATAATATCATACTCAATTCATATATATTATATAACTATAATATGAATATAATATCATACTCAATATAATTATTATCATTTTTAAAGCATTGTTAAATATTTTAGTTCTTTTAAACATTTCTATAAATAAATAGTTTTAGATCTTGTTTAATTATATAAAGATTTATAATATCTTATACATTATATAAGATTCAATTTAGGACATAGTATAAATTTAATTTTAACTTTTTACTTAATCAAAATAGAGACAGCAATGTTGGTAGCTAGATTATCTATTAAGTAACATTTAATAGTTGACTTTATTTGTTAAGAGTACAGTATTTTGACATAATATTTTTTACCATTGTTTAGACAAGAACTTAAGGGGGCCAGTATAATCACTTTTAACTAATTGGTGTAAACATTCAAGTTTTATTTTTAATTTTTTTGAATTGAAACTCTTTCTATAACATTTTTTTATTATGTAGTAAAATATAATATTTGGAAAGATTTCTATATTAGCTTTATATAATTTTTATGCGTTTATAAACTTTTTGTTTTATATTTACTTGTTTTGGTTTATCCCTATTTTTATTTGATAATTACTATTTAACAGGTTAAACAATATATAACAGGTGGCTAGTTGAAAATGGGACAGAGTTTTAAGAGATGTTACTCCCTCATTTTTCAATTTTTTTTTTTTAAACTAAAAAAATTCCATTAGAACATTATTTATTTTAAAATATTATATTGATTTTTAATCAATATCCTCAAACATAATCAACAAGAGCTAGAACCTGTTGCGCAAGACGATGTATGCTGACATGTCGACTTCTTTAAGGTATTTCTCAATCTTTTTTGCCTAAATGATCTAATTTTTCTAAATGGTTTACCCTCTGATCTATTGGCTAGTTAGAACTTGTCTATATATTCGCAAAACATCTTCAAATGTTTAAGGTTTCTTATGACACGTGCAAAATTCTTCCATCCAATTTATTGGTAGCTATGCTTGAGCCTTTTGGCTAACTAATACCATATCACGGTCACATTCCATGTAGCTGTGGCCCCTTATTAGGAACAATAGTATGACTTATTTAAACTGTTTCTTATTCACTACATTAAAGTGTAAAAAACAAATAATAGTCCAATTCTTATTTTGCCCAGCACATGAATCACAAAAAAGCTGCTAACGTGATACATCTTTTGGTAAAATGTAGTCAAAATAGTGCTCCAGCATGCTTGCTACATCCTCTGCTCTCTTTTTACCGTAAGTTTCATCGTAAGAAAATAAGTGAACTCTACTTAATCCTAAGCAGTGAATATAAGCTACGATAATAAATATTGTTCGTAGAAACATTACGACAATTATATTTTAGCAAAGAAAAAAATTTTTGTATTTTTTAGCTTATATTTTAGCAAAGTCAAATGCAAAAGCTGCAATACTAATTTTTACACTACGATGTGCCTCTTTCTTTCTGGCATAAAACATCTGCTTTCAGGAAAGTGAAGCTCTTTTTCTTGACAACTCTTAATGAGTTGTTCTACAGAGGTGCTTTGGTTTTTAAGTATAATATTGAACTTGTCACATGTTGAGCATGTATCTTTACAGGGATAACCAAAGTTAATGTTAAACTTGTCTATAAATATTTTTCTGGTAAAAGAAAGAAAGTAGAAAATTAGAAAATATCCAATAACATTCTTATATAATCATACATTATTAAAGTAGCTATAGCTTCCTTGACAAATTTAATTTTGTGGGAAGCACTCCTTGTGCATATAGTACATTTTTGATAAACTAAAATCCTCTGGTAAATACAGCTTTTTAGTGTCATGTAATGCATGACTCTTTTGTCCTTAAAAAGACTTGATATGATCAATAATACTATTTACAATATATTTTGAAAAGGCTAGAGGTCGGTGTGTATGTTTTCCTTGCTGGTTTATAAAAGAAATTCCTTAAAAATAATCAAATATACAAGCTTTATGTTTTATTAACTTAACTAAACCAAAATATTAACTTTCAAACTTTGAATGTGTTTGTTAAAACACATTAATGCATTATGCATTTTATTTGAATGACTAATTAGTAAATAAATAATAAAAAATCTTGATTTCTGTTTACTTACCAGTCTAAGAGATCCTTTTACTCTTTATATTTATGATTTTCCAAAAATTGATAAAATAGCATTGATGCAAACTAGAACTATATCTCTATATATAGAACAATATCTATAGTATTAATATCTCGTTTAACTTTGATGTTATTAGAGAGTAAAAATGAAATGTATAAAAAGTGAAAATAAAAAAATCTTTTTTCTTCTTTTTCTCAAGGTCTTCTTTGTTTAACACTTGAAGCAAGAAAGCTGTCTTGTTGATCTTTATTTTACATTTTGTGAAAGTACAAAATTAAAAACTCCCTTCCTTTAATTGTTGTATTCTGAAAACACATAAAACGCTTGCAATTCCATGAAAAGCCAATCATATGCAAAGATAAATGTTCATTTTTATCTCACTTTCAACTAACACTTTTTTAATTTCTGTAGTATCTAGATTTTGACATATATCCGCCATTTTTACAATGATAAAGTTTTTTTTTTGGTAAAATAAAATTTGATTGGGTGTTACACGAATAGTTGTAAAAAGTGCGCTTATGCTGTATTAACCTCTTGAACAGTTGGAACATATCTTTAATCTAATCTTTAAAAATTATTTGTTGCATTGAGTGACAAATGGTAAACAATAAGTATTTACTTCCTCAATTACTATGGTCAGTAATTAGATGTTTAAGATGGATGAGAGTTCAAGATGGATGGAGAAATCCCATTTTATTGGAATGGCTATTCATCTAGTAGTTAAAGCACTTGTGTCAGTGAAAATTATTGAAATATGTAAAGAAAACTATTGGTCTGCCTATAAGCACATCCAAGTCATTTTTTGTAACAACTAGACATTTTTCAATTAAAAATAGTTTAAAACCTGCATTGAAATACTTTATGCAATAAACTAATACATCTGATAAACATAGCATAAATTTATAGAAAGAAAAAAAAAAGAATTAAAGGAGAAGCCTTGAATAAAGCTGAAACAATAGAGAAAGCTCATGCAATGGATGAAAAACAAAATTTAAAAAAAACTACAAAATGTAACATTGACTACGCAGACAATGCAAACATACCAATGTAGAAAACGCAAAATGCATTTTCATGATACAATGTGAAAACAATTTTTGTCAGTTTTAGTTTTGCAATCAGATATGTACTCCAAAACGATATCAATAAGACACTGAGTTTTTCTGCACTAAAAAGTGTATAAGCTAGTAATTTATTGGTGGTTTCAATACTGAGATCTATTATTCTTTTTATTAGTTTTTATATATAATTTGCATTTTCCCTATTTTTCCCTGTTTTCTTATTGATCATAATGGTGACCAACATTAGTTGAAAAATTTTGAAAAAAAGTTTATTATAGCTTTTCATAAAAATAGTTTAAAAAAACAAATATTATTCAAAAATTCTTTCTTTTTTTTAGTATTACAATAGGAAATTCTTATATTATATTATAATTAGTGATTTCGCCGGTTATCCAGTTTTGCGATTAACCGGATTTTGTTCGAATATCAAATATCTATTTTCGAATAATAAAAACCGACTTGAAAATTTTACAAAATTTTATAGAAAGTAACATCGTAATTATGACGATTATTGTTTGACAAATGTTAATTTATCAAAGATTATAATATATTTCTTTTATTAATTTAAATGTTAATTTAATCAGTTTTGTTTGATAATATATTCTTAAAAAATTTACAATAGAAATATCAAAGATTTATTTATTACTTTTACAACTCAAGCAATACATTTTTAAGAAAGTTTCTTCAGAATATTATGGAACTCTAATTCGCTTTTTCAGCGTATTTTTTGAACCAATAGAATTTGTTTATTCGTAGATTTGGCGGTATTTTAGTGTTAGCAAATATTCTTTATATTATCTTTACGCAACAAGTTGTTTTGAAAACATTCAAGTTTATCTTCAAGTTTCCATCTATGTCCGCATAACAATAAGTTTTTAAAATACACGCTGAAAAAATTTACTTCATAACATCTCATTTTTCCAAATCAAAATTTTTTATATGAGAGAATGATTTTAAAACATCCGCTGATATTAAAACATTTAAACTATACTTGTGCATTATTCCTACCTTTTTTAATTATATAATTAAAAAGGTATACTATATTATAATATAAAAAATACATATATCTTTTTCCATGTTTTGTTATAAATAAATAATATAGGACTGTATTCACTGTCTTGAAAATGTATACTTTAACATTAGTTTTTAAAAAATTTGTTTAAAACGCTACGTTTGTTGAAATTTAGAAGATCCTGTATTCAGAAAGCGTCACTAATTTACCGAATAGTTGGTTAACCGCAAATTGATGAGAACTGTTATCCGGTTTTTGAAACGGATAACCGACGAAATCACTAATTATAATAAAAAATTATTTACTATTGAAATTAAAATTTCAGAATGTTGATTGAAATTAAGGTAATGTGTCCTTCATTCTAATAATAAAAAAAAAGAACAATTGAGTAAAAGCATTTGCTTAGAGAAATTATTACCTTGATAACTATTATTATTATCATAATGGACAAAAGATATTAATACTATTTTTTTTTTTTTTATCATTATTACTCTTGTTGTTGTTGTTGATGTTGTTGTTAATATACAATAATAATAATAATAATAATAATAATAATAATAATAACAATAATAACAATAATAATAGATATGCAAAATAAATGTGTTTCTAACCATTTATTATTAAATTTATTTAAAAAATTTACATACTGCTGCAGAGACTAAACTGTATGACTGCTTTCCTTCAAATGAGATCATTGCTTCATAATATGTAGAAACTTTTGTAATATTTGGCCAATATCTCACAGCACCTTCAGGTGACACATTTATGACACAGGTTTTTGTACTGATCATCGGAGCTGTTTGAGAATCATTCTGTACTATGCTGGTTAACTGAGACTTATGTTTTAAAGCAGTATAACTAAGAGGCAATGTAATGCACGGCAACACCTAAATAAAATTAAATCTAAATAAATTTGCATATACACTCACCATGTCTTAAAAATTGATTCATTGAAAAAACATTAATATCAAACAAAGAAACATTGATATAAGGAAAAGAAACATGGATATCAAGATAAGAAACATTGCTATCAAGATAAGAAATCAATGTTTTTTCAATTGGAAACTTTAACACATTTTTCAAGGATTTTTTTATATTATATTCATAATATTACATTATTAAAATTTAAAATTTTTCAATTTTAACTTGAAAACTAAAAATTAAAATAATTTAATTCAATAACAAAATTAGCACAGTACACATGCAAATCAAACATTTTAAAAAGATTAACATGCAAATCAAACATTTTAAAAAGATAAACTTGATATATAGAAAAAATTGTTTATAATCATTGTCTACAAAAAAAAGAGAAAAAAATTCACACTTTATAAGCACCTCTTTTCTTCCGCAACTAGCATAAAATTAAAGTAAAACACAGAAACCCTCATTCACAACAGTTAAGCAAAGCAAAATGTCATTTTAATTTTATTAAAAAAAAAATTAAATTAAAATAAATACTTAATGGAAATGCACATAAATAAATAAGCTCAATACAATTTACATCTGGCCAAGTTTTTATTTTTTAGTATTTTTATTAATTTTTTTTTTTGACATCTTATTTATTTTGACCTTCACCTAATTAAAAGCTCTGAAGCAGGATAGTTTTTAAATTCAGAGTTAAAACCTACTAGTTCTTAACTAAAAAAGCAAGTCTTAAGAAGCAGCAAGTTGTAGAGTAATCATAATAGTGACCGGAATAACATCTACAAAGACTTATTAATGTTAATGACAAATGTTAGAAAATGCGATCATTAAATTTGGAACAAAGAAAAATTCAAAAAATAAAATAAAATTATTAAACTAATGCAAAAACTTAAACATTTATTATAATCTAAGAAACATGAAGATTATAAAAATGTTTTTTATTTTAATATTTTTCATTGCATCAAATAAATAAGCAAACATATCCAATGATTTATACTTAAACTTGTTGCTGACATGCTCACGAACAATTGAAGTGTAAAATTTTGGACCTGGGAGCTATTTGAAGTCACCTTTCACGTATGTTTCTTCATCCATAATTATGCAGCCATTAAATTTTGTAAGCACTTCGTCATAAAGCTTTTGTGCTCGAGTTTTAGCAGTCAGTGATTGCTAATCTGATCGATTTGGATATTTAATGGCTCGATAACACTTGAAATTGTAAAACTTCTTAACTTTACTGACAAAAAACTATATACATAAACTTTATACCTTTTCGCTTGTTCTGTTCAATTAACCAGAATTTTATAATATATATGTACATACATATACATATATATATATACATACATATACATATATATATATATATATATATATATATATATATATATATATATATATATATATATATATATATATATATATATATATATATATATATATATATAATTAAAAATATATAATAAAATAAAATTAATGTATAACTTTTATTAAAAACTCTTGCTCTTTCCACAAGCAAGCGCTTACATTTTTGTTATTTTTTATAATATACTAGTTTTGATATTATACTATATATAATATATAGTATAATATTAAAACTAGTATATTATAAAAACAAATAAAATTTAAGCGCTTGCTGGTAAAAAGAGCGAGAGTTTTTAATAGAAGGTATACATTAAATTAATTTTGAATTTTCTGCTTCCAAAAGTATGCGCAATTTTAATTCCAGTTTTATATCCATTCATTTTAATTTTCAAAAGCGTGATTTATGAAAAATTTTTTTAACGTCATACATATTTATATTATTTTTTAATTTTTATTTTTATTTATACTGTGTTACCATTTTAAGGTATTGTTTTATAACTTATAATACTTATAAATTATGATTAAATTAATCATTTTTAAGTGTTTGATGAGTGCTTAAAAAGTTTTCAATTGTATTTGCGTTTTTTTCTATTCAATCCCAGGATTTCCCGGGAACAAATTTCTCAATCCCAAAATCCTGGGATTGAAAATTTCTGGGATTTTTGCCATCCCTAATCTTAACTTACCAAAAGTTTATTACTAAATGTGTTAGAAAGTAGCAGCTGTGGTGATTGAATTTAAATCTAAAGATTGTTTTAAATTGTGCAAACAACCCTAAACAAAACTGTATGTGGTTGTTTATTGAATTACTTGATCAATCCTTTAAAACAACTCATTTGCAAAAGTTTGCAGAAGCATTAAGCTGTTCTTTGAAAATTATTTAAAATACTAACTGTTTGACAAGGTTAAAAAATTTGATTTATACACAAACTAAACAGGTACAGCAATCTAAGAGTTACCACTTACAAATTTCTTTTTACTTTACTTAATAAGTAAAATTTAAAGAGATTTGTAAGAGATTGGCCATAAGCATAATTGAGGATTGAGGTATCAGCAGGTTTCAGAACTTATAAAAGTAACTGTATAACACACAAATGTTTTACACAATTACATGTGTGTAAAACATTTTACATGTGTGTTTATACACAATTGTATAAACACACATGTTTGTATTTTTTTTAGAAAAAAATACAAACATGTTTGTACCTTTACAAACATGTAGTTACCTTTTTTTTTTTTTACAAATTAGAATAATTGTTACAAATAAATTAAACATTTTATTTTATAAAAATCTTTCTAGAGTTATTATATTAAAAACTCTGTAGTTCTCACTATTAAGAAAAATCCCTCTCAGGTCAGGTTACCCTGCTACTAGTAATATGTAACTCAGTACAACCTGCGTCATGTCTTGCTGCCTTGTAATATACACATTTTTAGGCAAAGGTTAGGAGAAGTCAACTCTGACTTAACACACCCTTTGCCTTGGGGATCTTGGCTGAGTAAAGGCTAGAGATGGTATCTTGATAAAGATGGGCAGGTGTTAAATGCAACTGGCTACTGTCTTGTAGAAGGCCTCCTGGGCAAAAACTTCAGGGATAAACAGATTCTATCTGTTGACCAGCTTCGCACCTTTTCTTTATCTATTAAACTGGGGTATTCATAATACACTATTGCCAGTTTAGGATGTTGAATGCTGGATCTTATTGAATCAATTAATGGGTTCTACTTGTGTCTCTGTTTTTATGACTAGGCAACTCATTTTATTATTTCCTAATGAGGGTACAGCTATCAAACTTAGTTTTATTGTTCTGAGGCCAGCTGGTAGTAGAGCTACCACAGAGTTCCCGAACTCTGTGGTAGCTCTAAGAGAGGCTAATTCCATCAACACAGGCAAAGGATCAGAGTGCTAACAGTGCTATGTTGCGCATGGATTGCATTCCTGTTTGTAATGTTGGTGTGCATTGTCAAGGCCAGATTCAGAGGCCTTTGTTACAACTGAGGGTTTAATATGTAATAAGGCAATTGCTTGGACTGTTAGATAGTGTACTGAGTACTGGCTTTGCTTTGAGTCAAGTTCTTTAAAGGGATTCTGTTTATTACAAGTTCTGAGACAAGTTATGTTTATTTTGTAATTACCAAACAATTTATTTATTAGATATTAACAAAATCGTTGTTGTTTTGCCATTACACTTTTTGTTGTGAGATTATTAAAAACATCTAAATAGTTTTCTCGTTATATATATCTGTTATGGTATAATAAATGTACTTACCACAGAGTTTTTTAATTTTTTTACACAATTAGATTAAATTTTACTCTTTTATATAAAACTGTTGGCGCTACATTTAACACTTTATTATAACTCGCAAAAAAAATAATTTAATTAAACAAAGACCGCTTTTCTATTTTGTTATATTTTTATTTCTATTTAAATATTTCATTTTCATTTACCATAAAATAAATGTATTTTTACCATTTCTTACTAAATCCAAAAAAAAAATAGGGTCAGTCAGGGTAATTTGGGTATAGTGAGGTAATTTGGGTATAAATTATATTTTCTGTATAAAAATTAGTAATTATATAACCAGATAAAAATTATCAAAGTGTTGCATATTGTACTTATAAAAGACTTTAAAGAAACATATAAAAACAAACACCAAAATTATATTACCAACACTGACTACAACTCTTCTAAAAATTTCATAGGTTATGTACAAATGTTTTTGAAATAAAAACAAAAGCATCAAAGCATTGTCATTTTTTATTCCATTGAGATATTTTTATTTCATTTAGGTATGTATACATTACCTATTATTAATTTAATTTTTTATTAATTTGGGATACTGAGATATATTATTTGTTTTGTTATTAATTATTTAAAAGTTCGGGGTAACACAGATATAATTACTGTTAACTTCAAAATAACCTAACTTTTTGTTTAAGATCATGCCACGCACATGTTAAAAAAAATCCTGTTAAACATGATAGCAATGATCTACAAAAAGCTAAAGAAAATGTTAAAAACAGAAAATCGATGTATGCAGCTGCAAAAAAATGCAAAATTCCGTATGAAACTATGAGACGATGGTGTGTGAATTCTCCAACTCATCAAGGCACTACCAAAGGAATAGTATTAACAAGAGAAGACTAGGAATATATAGTAGATGCCTTAATTTTTACAGCAAATTGTGGATATCTAATAAGCAGAAAAGATTTGAAATATATGGTGCACAGTTATGTACAGTCAGCGGATAGGAAGATACCATTTAAAAATGATGCACCCAGAAATGAAACTCGCCTAGGTACTAACCCTACTAAAGGTAAAGTATTTATTCCTAAAAGTACCAGGATAACATATTCACTTTCAGGAAGTGCCTGGAGACACCAGTACAGTGTTCTTTTTGTAGCAAGTGCTGACAGTAAATGTTACCCACCTTATGTTATTTATGTGTTATTTATAAAGGAAAAGGAGAGTTACAATCTACTTGGGTAAAAGAATGATCGCCACGTACACTGTATAGGGTTACAGAATAATGAATAAATGCATTTGTCAGGGTTAGAGTTAATTAATAAAACACCTTGAAAAGTCAGTTTTAGTAT